CCGCCCAATGGTTAATTGAAAACTTTGGAAAGATTGGGTAATTTCTGGTAAATATCGTAATCCCACTAGTGTCAGAATGAAGGGAGTGCGTTGGATTTACATGGGCTTTATGACTCTCAACACTTCACATGGCATTATTCACTCCACTGTGGTGATAAACGGCTTTTGAGGCCACAGTTGCCCTGGGGTAGACTGACAGAAGCAAGGCTGACAATCTTAGAGAAACCCTAGACTAATAAAACATAATAGACTAACGCGTCCATAGTATTTATTCATTAATCTCGACTCAGGTATTTTTTAAATGTATGACTTTTCTGACCCCGGTAATTTTCAAATGTATTTATGTATTTCTCTGACTTAGAACATGTAATTTATTTATGCAATGAAGGGGTAGGCTCTTATAAGTAATCTTTACTTCTGCCCCCCTTTGAGCGCTATGTAGCACTTAAAAATGCAGTCAGTATTTTTTTCCAGACGCAAGTTGTCATGTGTTCAAATAGTAATGGAATTGACCAGATGCCTATAGTCTTTGGAGCGGACCGATAAACACTGACTCGCGACCGGGTGGTTGCGAGTCAGTGTTACGGCTAAGCTAACAAAAAATTGCTTATTGCACCTTTAAACAAACATTGTCTTCTTCTTTAAAGCTTATGGGTGAAGCATCTTATCTGAATACACAATGTCAGTTTAGCACTTTAACATGAAACCAAAATGCCATGATGTGTGACTACAAATGTTTCAACTATGCAGGATCACTGTATAATTATCTAAGGCATGACTCTCGGTCGCAGGTCACTTTGCACTTGTCAATGTTGGTGTCAAATGCTTTTGAGAGACCGAAGAGCAAGTGCAAAACTGTGTCGTCACTGCACTCTTTTACTTATTTGCATGTTCAGTCATCATGAAAGCATTTATATTGGGACACAGCTCAGTATTTAAAGCTGCAACCTACAGTATATGGGAATGTTCATTTCTTTAGGTATGCTACGTATTTTTGAGTTGCATGAGCTCGACTTTGAACTCTGCTTGCCAAATAACACGATTTAGTTGCTAGCCTGTTGTTGGTTAGTGTTTTTTTTTTATTGATATGCAAGAATTCTTGGACATTTTACAATTTTTCAAACTGCAGTAGATATCTCCTCGCTCATGGCCACCTGCACTCAGCTTCATATGCAAAATAGCTGCTCGGATTAAACTAAAACTATGCATTTATCAGGCTGGATGGAGAAGCACATAGCGCAAGTGCCAGACAGCGTCTCTCGTTACAATTCACATACTAATTAGGGTCCTTGAGAGGAGCTGAGCGGCCAGGGACATTGCATGCCAGGACACGGTGAGAACGAACAGTTGAGAAGAGACGAGAGGAGGGAGGGGGCAGCACACATGGAGCCAACAGACTGTGCTGACGACCTTGTTTGCCTGCAGACAGTTGGTTTAAGCAGGTCAGGGTTTGGGAGTGACGTTGGTGTTGGAATTTCTGCATGAAAATGTACAGATGAACGAGGTGCATTTGCTACATGCAGGGTTTTTAGAACAAAATTTTTGTCTATTTGTCCAAAGTCCTGAAGGTGAAAATAGCTCCTAATCCATATTTTTGAAAAAGATATGGTCATGCAGCACAACGCCTCATATCATAAGCAATGATTACTGAGAAACTTAATCTTTAACTGTGGAAAGGAAAAGACACCTCTTCTCTGGAAATGTGTGTCACAGAACTCACTGATTCCCTTCATGTTGGGAAAATACGATAAATCATAAACAGCAGATTGATTCCAAAATATGATCCAGTGGTGAAAATGATTGCCCGTGAGTGTAGCATAAACTCACTTTTGGTATCAGAAAAAATGAAAGCAGTGCCACGGCACAAAGGACACAAAGGGCTGTTGAAGCAACTGGCAGGCCTCAGACAGTATGCGGCCGGAAAACAGGAAGTGGAGGAGAGCAGCTCACAGCTTGACGAGCAGCCGTACAGAAGCTCAGATGAGGCATCGGAGCATGGGAGAGAGTGGAGAGTGGGGAATTCACGGAGGTGACCCCCCCACGCCTGCCAGATATGATCTCATTGCCAACGAAACTGGAACAGGTCTCACAAACACCTCGAATTCTTGAGGAGCGTTTGAAGGAGGCACATAAATCTGTACGAAGTAAAGAAACAATGGGGCTAAAAAGCCTCCTTGAAAATGTGATACCATCTAGAGGGGCAACACAGGGGCCTGGGAGGAACAGACCCACCCCTGTCCCACGATCCTGTGAGATTCATGAAGAAGAATGGCTGCCTGAACTGGAAAAAATGCCGAGGGGCACAGTTAAGTGGAAAGATCCGGCAGGGCGTGTAATGTACAGATATGTCGGTGACATATTTGACATTGACGGACACTGTCTTGTAGTCATGGTGGACTCCGACATGAACTCACTGAATGAACAATTTCAGAGAAGACTAATTAAAAACGCTGGACGGGAGTACCAGGCAGAGTGGCAGAGAAAGCAGGCTGAAATCAGTGGAACTGATTCAGATGACGCAATGTTGATAAATGGAGGACAGACAAGGTTCTACGCAATCCTCCATTTTCCTTGTGTGAAATACAAGGAGGGTGACGATGAGGAACGGTATCGAGAAGTTCTAATAAAAAGTATATTAGAATCTCTGTACTATGCAAATGAACTCGAATTAAAAAGAGTTGTGATTGGCGTAGAGGCAGTCCAGTCCAAGAGACTGGATTGGCGGATCGCAGAAGAAGCAATCGTCCATGCCAGTCGTCAATATCTGACAGAGATGGTCCTATGGACCGGAGTGAATGAAATAGTGCTGGTAACTCCCAAAAGCATGGACATGGAAAAGAAAAATACAATATCCCAACACCTGAAAGATCTGCGGTGTGGAGAATATTGGCGTGGCAATATAGGCCCGAGGGACGAGACCTGCGAGGGACGTTATGATGGAGTGAGGCTGGGGAAGACAGCTAAACTGGGGCCAGGGGAAGTGGCGGCCCGAACCTCGTCGTTTGATGAGGCAAGGGACGTCGAAGTAGACCTCGGAGTCTTGGATTTTGCAAATTCAAGAACTCGGAAGAGGGCCGGGACCAGGGAGGCATCACAGCTCAGAGCAGGTTTAACAGAAACCGCCAGAAGTACAGCCAGAGCCCCCATGAGCCCTCACAACGTTGTGACTAACTTCGGAGGCCCGTTTACACAGGCCACTGAAGAAATGACAGACATGGAAGGTGAGAGAGATGAGGCTGACGTTGAAGATGACTCAATGGACCCCGAGGAGGGATCATTGAGCGTAAGAAATGAGGCCGTAAATCACTCTCACCTCGGCATATTGAGAAGACCAACAATGAGAGTGGAAAAGAGGAAAGAACCTGTTTATTCAATTGAACAGGCTTCCATGAGGATTGCGAGAGATGTGAATTACGGATGTCTGAAGACAAAAGATGGAAGAAAGTGTTACGTGCCAGAAGTGGGGCAAACTCAATATGTTGTGCCCACTGACTGGACGAGAAATCTGGAAGAAATTCTACATGTAGAAGTTTCAGCCCCCAAACGGGAGTGGATCAACTATCTGATAATGCCGAGTTATCAGACATTGAGAAATAATAATCTGCTCACAAATAAATTTCGTAATTCATTTCTCACTATTACACATGATGCGGCGATAAGGCGCTTGAAAAAAGCGGCTTTTCTGTCAGCACAGAGAGCAGAGCAGCAGGGGAGTGAACTCTCAGATCAGGAAACCCCCCTCCTTCTCGACAGCGCAGAACAGGAAGTAACTCGAGCTGAGCGCTGGAGTGACGGTGCTCGTGCACAGGAGAGAAAGAGGAAAGAGCCACTGGCACTGAGGCCTGCTGTGCAAAAAGGTCAAAGGTCACCTGGGCCGGCTGCAGCAGGGAGGAGAGCCTCTGCAGAATACAGCACGATAATAGAAGACTGTTCTGTTCCTGCTAGCTGGGCAGGATTACAGATATTGAAGGCCTTGATCCCAGATAGGCCTGCAGAACAACCAATACAGGACTATCTGAAGCAGAAATGGCGTATAGTGAATAACTCAACAAAAGATCCTGGTGCTAAAAGACTCTGGTTGACATATGTAACAGGAATCTGGAAGACTCCAGAACTGTCACCAGAGACGCACTACAAGAATGCAATCTGTAATGAAATGGACGATGAGGATGGACATGTTGCCTCCGCAAGGAAAGACCTTGAAGCAGGGGCCACGCTCACAGACGTGTGGCAAATAATCGGACCTTTTATCTCTAATGAGAGATGGGTACGTGTCCTGCAGAAAGTGGTAAAGAACATGAGACATGAAACGGAGTTCATTGCATTACACCCAACAGAGACAACGATGGAGGAAATCAAAAGTACAATCGGGAGGTGGGACCGGATCAGAAGCCACGAAAACGAAAGGGGTGGCGGTGGAAGTGCTCGTACTCACAAAAATTATAAGGGCCGGGCAAGTGGGAGTGACCAGCGTCAGGGAGGAAATAAGGAGCACCAGGACGGGGGTCAACGAGAGAAGAAATACCCGGACAAGAGACGAAAGGGGTATCTCTGCCTCCTGAGGAGTACAACAAGCTGACAGTGGAAGAGAAGATTGCTCTCCGGGCTAAACGTGAGGCGGCAGCCGAGGGAGGACAAGAGAAGAAAGGAGAATAATGGCACGAGTCACGCTCCATAATGTTTACCGGGTGGGAGACAAGTTCTTCACTGATATCGAAGGAACACCCTACCTGGTAGACACCGGAGCAGAAGTGTCCATGACTCGCAGACACTTGGATACTAAAGGATTTGTGAAAATACAGTTAGCAGATTCCTCAATCGCATTGACACCATATGGAATCTGGAAAGGAATCGTCTGGATTCTGGGAGCATATAATTTAATCACCATCAAGGATCTGGAGCAACTAAATGGAAGTAAGGAAGATCGGAACAAGAAAAGAAAGAAGGTTAACAAGAGATTGAAGATACTACAGACAAGACTAACAAAACTCCCCGTGGGAATGGATGCTGCACAGGATATGTCCTGGTACAAACCTGTGAACATTCAAGAAGTCACCGAGGAGAAAATAACGAAGAGTAACCTGTCTCCCGCTGGAAAACAACGCTTAAGGGAGATACTATCAAAAGCAGACATAGCCCGGTTCAAAAACGACTGTGGTGACCTGGGGGATAAATATGTGTACACCATTGAAGGAGGGGTGCACCCCCCCGTGCGCCAGTACCCGCTGAACCCAGCCGCAATAGAAGAAATGAGCACGATAGTAAAAGAGTTGGTGGCATTGAAAGTGATCAGGGAAGAAGCAAACCCTATCACAAATAGCCCGATACAGGCTGTGAAGAAACCTGAAGCAGCAGGAGGAGGGTGGAGGCCCGTGGTGAACTTTAAAGCATTGAATCGGAGAACGATAGCAGATAGAGCCAGTCTGATTAATCCTCAGGCAACGTTGAAGACTTTGAAACTGAGGAAGTATAAGTCTTGTATTGATCTGGCGAATGGTTATTTCTCTGTGAGATTGGCAAAAGCATCACAGGCAAAGACGGCCTTCACTCACAAAGGAAAAAGTTATGTATGGCTGAAAATGGCACAGGGTCTGAAGACAGCCCCGGCCTTCTTCAGCAGAACAATCATGGAGATTCTATCGGGCATGGACGCGGCTGTCTACATTGACGACGTTATGATCTGTGATGACACAGAGGAACAGCATCTACAACATCTGGAAGCTGTGATTGACAAATTGACGGCAGCAGGGTTAAAACTGAATCTGAAGAAATGTCAACTCGGGCAATTCAATGTGAATTATCTTGGATTTGAGGTGGCTTCAGATTTGGGCCTATCAGACTGTTTTCGTGAGAAAGTGGACAATATAAGGCCTCCCAGAACAATGAATCAACTGCAGAAAATACTGGGATTGCTGAATTATGTGAGAGATCATGTGCCTGGTTATCAGAAGCACGCTAAACCACTTTATGACAAACTGAAGAAACAGCAGAAGCCAGCAGCGTGGCAGTGGACCGAAATAGATCAGAGGAAGTTGACCCTGCTACAGGATGCGGTGAGAAATGCTGTGAGACTGGAGCCACGCAGCACCACAGAGAAACTCTTGGTGCAGGTTTTCTGTGAAGAAGATGATGCAATGGTGAAAGTCTGGAATGATAATGGAGGGCTGGTGTCCCTCTGGAGCTACACATTGTCACCAGTAGAGCACAAATACCCACCAGAAGAGAGAGAACTCGCGGTGCTTGCTCGTTACTGGGCAGGACTGAAGGATCTTGCACAGGGACAGGTGATAAAAGTGATAACACAAAGTCAAGTGCATAGATTCTTAAGAAAAGCCACAGTGGAGAGCACACGCGCGACCAACGCAAGATGGGGCCGATGGGAAGACATGCTGTTAGATCCCGACCTGGAGATTGGGCCAGAGGAGCCGCTAAAAAAGCCCAGGCAAGAGAAGGAGGCCCCACAGCTAGTATATGAATGGATATTATACACCGATGGGTCCAAAAAAGGACCAGACCAGACGGCGTTTTGGGGGTACATCCTGAAAAATAAAGGAGAAGAAAAATTTCGACAGCGTGGGCGCGTTCCAGGAAGCGCACAGGCTGGAGAAGTGACAGCAGTCTTGGAAGGACTGCTGGAGTGTGAACGGAGAAAAATTAAACAGGTATTGATAGTAACAGACAGTTACTATTGTGCCCAAGCATTAAGAGATGATTTAGCAATATGGTGTGAAAAATGGCTACGAAACCGCAAAAGGAAAAGAGATTGTCCACATGGAGATGTGGAAGAAGATTGCGGAGCTCTTGATGTTTATACAAGTGAATGTGTATCATCAGAAAGCTCACGCAAAAGAAGGAGAGCACTGGGCAGAGAATAAAGAGGTGGATAACTTTGTCCAGTTGCGGAAAATTGTATTAGTTGGTGCTGAGAAGTGGGAACGAACAGAGAAAGGAAGAATCGTTCCCAGTGAGTGCATAATGGAGACCGTGATGGCTGTCCATGAAGAAATTGGCCATGCGGGGATTAAACCCACTCGCAGGGAATTGGCGAAGCTGGATCTTTGGATCAGAGAGAAGGAAATAAGGAAAGTGCTGAGAGAGTGCACTGTTTGTGGTCAGTTCAACGCTGGAAGAAGAGTAAAGAGGTCAGATGACCTCACAATTAAAAGCACCGTGCCATGGGGCTCAATCTGCATGGACGTGGCAGGGCCAATGGGAATCTCAGGGAAACAGGGAGAACGCTATCTGATTGTGCTGGTGGACTCTATGTCTGGGTACATGGTAGCAAAAGCAGTGAGAAATGCAACAGGAAGTGCTGTAGTAACCATGCTGGAGCAGACATGCTGTGCTCTGGGAAAACCGAGAGAGCTTCGGACGGACAACGGAACACACTTCAAAAATAAGAAGATGGGTGCATGGTGCCAGCAGAACGGAGTTTTTCACGTTTATGCTCCTGTGTACACACCACAGGCAAACGGAATAGCAGAGAGAACTATTGGCTTGGTGAAAACATGGATAGCAAAGAATGCAAATAGCAAAGAGTGGAGCACGAAGATGTTGGAGCTGTCCAGGGTCCTGAATGACAGATTCAGGGCAACGAGGAAGTCACCAGCTGAAGAACTGAATAAACGCCCCTTCACGTCATTGGAGATAGGGCGGGGACCTGAACAAAAGCATGATACTCAGGGAGAACACCGACCACTGACAGTCGGTCAGCAGGTGTGGATCAAAGCACAAAATCCTTCAACTGGATTGGCGGTTAAGCCAAAATACGACCGCAAGGACACGGTTGTGGAGATTTTGGATCACAATACAGTAAGGCTGAAGAAAGCTGGGATCCAAGGAGTCGCGCGCAGCTGAAGCCAATTTCACAGCTGAATAATTAGGAGACGAGTATGGCGACAAAACCTCAAGACCTTCCACACTTCATTCACGTCGCCATGATTAAAGGTGTGGTTGTTATCAGACGTACAAGGATAGGGCTTCTGTCAGGAAGAGCCCTGGGGAGTTTGAGGAGAGCAAAGGAGGGGGTCGTTTCCGAAGAGAAGGAGAAATTACAGTGGGGGAGTGTGAACAACTCCTGCGCCATATGCTGGACACAGAGTGGATTGGAAATTCTGTGGGAAGGTCCGGGCGCGAGCAGACCTAGGACCCCAGGTCGATGCAGAGCTGAGTTTAGGAAGATGGGTCTTAAACCAGTAAAAGCTTTGGATGCATTTATTTGTGCAGATTGTCGCATCACTACTGCACCAAGGTTAGTAGTGATGTCTCAACGTTATTCTGGAGCATATGGCAGTGACATGTCAAGCTGCCTCTGTACATGGGATGGAGTACAGCTGGGCATGTGTGCATGGGGTGTGAGTCATGCAGGGCTCGTGGAGCCCTCGTGGAAATCATAGTAGTGGAGGGATGGCAAGTGCGCAGATTTCTGGACGCCATCCATTATCGGACCCCGAGGCTGGAAGAGGCCTGGAGAGGAGGCGAGGGGATCGGCAGACGAAGAAGAGGATGGGATTACGACAGCACAGTACCACCGGAGCCCCATGTTTCACAGTGGGAGGAAATTCTGAGGAGCTGCTGGCCTGACACGGTCAGAACAGGCCCCAGACCAAATGCTGTGGTACCCTCTTTCCCTGTTTTTAAGGCATGTGGAATAAACTACATGAAGGAGTTTGACCACATGAATTTGTCAGAGGGGAGAATATGTACATGGAGAGAGATTTTGGATGAAGTCTTCACATGTGGAGATGGAGTGCAGGAGCTGGGCCCGGTGCCAAGTGAGAGAGGTATACGAAGTACTGCTCTCTATTCGAACATGACAAGTTTGGATGCATGGGGTTCGTCCACCACTGTCTCAGTTGGACGACACAAGGATTACCTGGTCTCCACTGTGGAGGGTCAGGTAAGCGATGCCAGAGCAATACGGGTGATGGTGAAGTCTGTGATTCACCCACAGGGAGGTGTGGTTTCAGTGGGAGCAGGCATCTCTGTTTTAACAGATGCATGGTGTGCTGGAACAGAAACTACTACCAAAATAGTGGGACGAAAGTCATGGATGCAGAGGCTCCGCTCTTTGGGAGCGAGGCTTTGGCCAGGACGGGACGAAGCCACACCTGCTCAAGAGAGGAAGTAATTTCTGGACAGGACCAGGAATTACAGGAGGAGGTGAGAGGTGCAGAGCTGTCATCGAAAGAAGGTAGAAGATACGCCCCAATTCTAGGGGAGGGGGAGGAGATGAGATAGTATAAAAGAGGATCCTCTCCCTGGACTGGGGAGAGTTGACAGCTGAGTGATGGAGCAAGAGAAAAGAAAAGCTACATTGAAGCGAGGAAAAAGAAGAGCTGCAGTGAAGATATTATTTTTCCTGCTTATTGTGGGTTTTTTCGTCGGACTGGTGAAATGTCTCTTGAATGGGAGAGCCCCCACCGTGGTGTTTGCCACCACAAGAACTGTACAGATGTCCTGTGCAGAAGTGAGGGAAGAGACATTGAATTTTAACTTTTCAGCTGAAGATTGGACCATATTAACTGGGAAACATGGCTCAAAAGAAGAAGCCATGAGGGCAATTCAGGCCACAGTCCTCCGGCAGAACTGGAATGACGCAAGAGGAACAATAACAGACTTCACTGTGCATGAGCATGGGGTCATAATCTCGGGCCTAGTAGCAGGAGAAGTTGCAACCCGAGAGGCACGTGTGAACTATGTCATAATAGAAGGAGAGGAACCAAGATATTACTACACACAAGCGTGTGTGACGGAGAGAAACTTCACTTTCTGGCGTGAGGAAATTGTGACTCAGGCCCCAGAATTGAACGTGACTCTCTGTGAGGAGGAAATGTTCAAAACAGACCTATTTTGGGGTTATCTGAATTTGACATGTACAGAAGAAGCACTGCCCACTCCGATTCCAGAACAGGTTCCTACAGGAGGAATCGATGAAGAAGAGACTCCAGGACCTGTAGGAGATGTGCACTCTGATGTGACAGAATGCATACATGAAAAGGTCCTGAAACTGGACCCCTGTCTATGGAACTTGGGAGAGGTGAGGTGCGAGAAAGAGAATTTTTTGGTGCTTTGTAAAGCCCAAGAAGAGCCCGAATCCTACGGCAATCAGCCCAGGGGATCGGGAAAAATTGAAATTGATGAATGGCTCAATAACACACTCCCCTGGATATGGAAGACAAATGTGAACCATTTCAGAAGGGGCCATTTGGATGTGAGCCGGAGGGGAGAAGGGAAATCGATGGTGGCAAGAGGCCCCATTTCGAGTGAAATGTACGTGCAGAAACTCCCAACACCAGACGATCTGGAGACAATCCCAGAGAAAGATTTTTCCAGGATTGATCGGTGTGCAGTTGAAGCAATGTATAAGGAGCTGCATGGAAGAGAATACAGCCAGGGAGAACCCCAGTCCTATGTGTGGGCTTCCCCGCGGTGCGATATCGTGCAGGTGGGGGTGTGGGAGAGTGGATTCTGGAAATATAACTGTTCCAGAGTAAAATCTCTGAGTACTATGAAGGCTGTTTTGGAACAATGGCCGCTAGTATTTGGGAAATTACAAAAATCACGTCCCTGGTGGGGGCTTCAGAAGGAGGAAATGGAAAGCTGGGTCCTCCCGTGTCTAGGGATGACACAGAATTATTGGGTAAAATATCAGTACGTGGCATCTGTCTATTCAGCGGCAGATGGTATTGCAGAATGGTATCTCTGGACAGGCTTGCGGCCAGTCGTGGTTTTAACCCCACGACCGTGGAAGATGAATTGTGAAAGCATGAAGATGTGCACGGTCGAGCTGGCAAGACGACCGTGTATGGAGATACTAGGATGGGGAGAAAGCTGCGCTGCCTGGTACAGGACTGACTTCAAATTGTACCGTCAAGGGACAGTGTGGGTTAAGACCGACACAAAGAAGCATCCCCACTGGCAGCGGGGGACAATAGTTTGGAAAGAAGGATGTAATAGTAATCTCCTCGGGACATTGCCTGCAGGAGACGAGCGGGAGGGGGCGGTGGTTCCCCCCGTGAATCCAGGTGAACTGACTCGAATGGAGGGACACGCCTGGAGAAGAAGCTTGTGTGAAGGACAGGAAGATCAAGATGATTTCGACTGGGTTGGGGACACGCATTTCTTCAGTAATGATACATGCAACCAACCAGACCTGAAATGGTTAAAATGTGGAGACCACAATTGCTCCGTGATAGAATTGTATTTGGAAACACTTCTGGAAGCAGGAGAGGCAGTGCCATCTGTGATTCTGGACACAATAACGACAGAGGCTGGCGTAGCACTTCAAGCTGCGGAAACTGCCTGTGAGGCGTTGCTGTGGGGGGCTGGCGCAATTTTGGCACTGGTTGTTGTGCTGGGATTATTGCAATTTGCGGTCAAACGGTTGAAAAGAGGAAGGAGTAGGAGAGGCAAAGGTTTGGAGAGGGCGGTGACGTTAACGGATTTAAGATTCGGTTAACACACGCCGAAGAAAGACTCTGACTAAAGACGTCGACGCAGTAAGATCAAAAATGGAAACGACAGCAGAACAAGAAATGACCAATATTACTCCAACTGCGGACCCTGGCATCATCGAGCCAGGGGTCGAGTATTGGGTCGAATGGATGTCCATCGAAAGTCTGTGGATCTTGTATTCAATTACAGGGTTCTGGGGACGGAACCAGGGCTGGAGAACGGTTCCCATGTCCAATTTCAATTATTTTATTTATAAAACCATTTTAGTTGTTTTGGTGATCAGAAATGCTCCCACTTCACTATCTTCTTGGCAAATATGTTTATCCACTGTAAACATATTTCTCAAAATGAGACTAAAAGGCTTCTCCTCCACTTGGGCCCTCTACATCAGGGGTCTCAAACCGGTTCCAGAAAGGGCCATGTGGCTGCAGGTTGTACTTCCAACAGTTACAAACAGAGCAGGAGCACAGATGACTCCACCTATTTCCTATATTTCCATATCTTGTTGTCAGGTTAAAACTGGACTCACCTGAGTCCGCCCGGTGGGCGGGTGGATGTTAAGAGGATATGTACTGGCTGTGAGGTTACTCCCAGGTTCCACTGGATTGGTCAGGGGGGTCAGCCAGGAGCAAGCCAGCCCCGATGGAGGGGGGACATGGATATCAGATAAGGGAGAAAATACATACCAAAGAGAGAGAAAGACCAGAAAGACAAAGCAGAGAGAAAGACCAGAGACCTAAGAGAGAGACCAGAAAGAGGGATGTAATTATGATTCCAAGCTAAAAAGCACTTCAAGTTGACTTTCAATGTTTTTCCCCCTGTAGAAGCCCCCCCACTCTCTGAGACCTCTGAGGTTTGAACAGAATCCATAAAAGTGAAGTTAAACTATTTTGATGAAACGGTTGAAAATTGTGCAGTACATTAAATTAATAAACATTTCACACGATTTTGTAATAATTTTGATTTTATTCTTAGCTTTAATATACATTGTGCTTTGTGTTCATAACCTACATGTTGTCAAAACGTAACTTTATAATATATGCTCGAGTGAAAACCTGTTGTTTCTGAAGCTGCAGGTTTTAATTAGTTTGATATAAATTTTCAATACAATTACAATACAACACAATTTATTCTTGTATAGCCCTAAATCACAACAGAAGTCATCTCAGAGGACTTAACTAAACCATTGAAATCACCAACACAGATCAGAGAATCAACAGTTAAAACACAGAGAGAATATAGAACACATGTTGAAAAATGTCCATACAACAAAAACGACAGATTAATAGTTTTCCCTGTTTCTTCTGAATTCTCTCGACGCTTCAAACCACTTTTATATTTAGACCTTGTTTTAACACCGTTCCTGTGCTAGACGCTCACTACACACAAAACTATTGGGCCTAAACCACAAACTGTATAGCAGGACAATGCTAACCTGCTAGCTCAAAAAGCCTAATAAGGAAGTGCTCATGGATGAAGTTTGGCATCTCATGACTCCCATTGGCTGCTAGCTCAAAAAGTCTAATAAGGAAGTGCTCATGGATGAAGTTTGGCTCCTCATGACTCCCATTGGTTTCAAACTAGCAACTATTTGTTTCACATGCACCAATTTGGGCTTACATTTTTGGTTTCTCGCTCTCTGTGATCCTGGTGTTTATATTGTGATATTGTCTTTGTAAATCCAGATATGAGCCATGTAAGGACTGACCAATCAGATGCTTTCATTCACAGGGGAATTCCCAGCTTCCCTTAGCAACCGTCTTAGCAACATGTCTGCCTGTTACGGATCGAAGCTAAAGCCCAAATAAGGAAATTGGCTACAGCGCATGTTTAGATCAGCTTCTTCTGCAGTAAGACTAACACTGTGGTGATGTCACACTCTCAGTCCTCTCCTCATATACAGTCTATGACATAAACCAGGAATTATCCATCGGCTAAATTCCTGTGAAAATGTTTTGATCCGTCTGAATTTCTAGTTGTTTGATTTTCTACTTTATAATCATAAATAAACAATTTAGTGGACACGGCTGTAAAACAGGGGGCGACAGTAGCTCAGTTGGTAGAGCATTGGCCTTTGGGCCTGAAGGTCGTGGGTTCAAGCCTACTTCACGACTGCTGTCGTTGTGTCCTTGGGCAAGACACTTAACCCCACTTTGCCTGAAGCTCCCACTGAAAGATCTCAGCTCCTGTGGACTCACCACCTGCAGGAGGATCAGGGAGGGGCTGGTGCTAAGTGTACTGGGTGCAGCTCTGACTGCCACCCCCCCGACCCAGAAATGGATTAAGGGGAAGAAAATGGATGGATGGATGGATGGATGGCTGTAAAACAAATGGTTCAAACTGTGTTACAGGCTTTGGAAAAGACTATATAAAAGACTGTTATAAATGTGTTAAAACCAGGTTCAAAACCAGGTCTGAAGCCAAAGACCCAGTTTGAGTCCAAGTCCAGATCCAGCAAAGTCTTGTACAAATCCAGACCTGAAGGATTTCCTGTCACAAAAACCAGGATCTGATCAAGACCCTACAAAGTCCTGGGCTTCTGTCAGACCAGACATGGAGCAGAGACCTCCCAGATCTCGTTGAGTCCCTATGGTCCGGTCCCCATGGTGGGGCCTCACACGTAGACCCGGGCCAAAGCATCGGCCCCCGCGGAGGCGATATAGGCTTTGGGAGGCTGGAAGGCCACGTCGTAGATTGTCTTCTCGCTCTTCTTCCGGTGAGCCGTGATCTCCTGCACACACGTTTTACTGTCCAGGTTCCAGAGGCGCACCGAGCAGTCGTGGCCTGCAGGGGGAGCACAACATCAGTGAGAAGATCCAGGACAACACCAAGACTCAGTGAAAAGAACAAAAAAACACCAAGAGTGAGTGAGAAGAACAGAACAACATCAGGAGTGAGTAAGGAGAACAGAACAACATCAGGAGTGAGTAAGGAGAACAGAACAACATCAGGAGTGAGTAAGGAGAACAGAACAACATCAGGAGTGAGTAAGGAGAACAGAACAACATCAGGAGTGAGTAAGGAGAACAGAACAACATCAGGAGTGAGTAAGGAGAACAGAACAACATCAGGAGTGAGTAAGGAGAACAGAACAACATCAGGAGTGAGTAAGGAGAACAGAACAACATCAGGAGTGAGTGAGAAGAACCTGGGCCGTCATCAGTCATCAGTATACATCATTAAGTCCAAGAACTAAAACACAGTTCTTGGTGAAGTTCAAGAAATGTTAGATTATAATGTAAAAAGCAGTAGCCTCATTCCCACTGAGGAAAAACAAGAGAACGTCTCTCTCTGGTCCCTGTTGTCCTATGCTATGACTTTAGAACACTTTTATTTTGACAACACCTAACCTCCCTGCTGTGAAAACACTGGTCTAAACAACACACCTGTTCCTACTGCTGTCCTGGGTAAAAATGCTATAGTATTCTGTATAGTAGCAGTACTGCAGTAATAATAACAATAAATCGGTTATATATAGCGCTTTTTTGGACACTTAAAGACGCTTCACATGTCATTATTATTCACTCCACAAACTTCAGGCTCAAAAGCCAATGCCCTACCAACCGAGCTACTGTCGCCCAGTATTCAATATTGTAGCAGTTCTGCAGTATTTGCAGTACTTCAGATGCAGTGCAGTATTTGTACCTGACTCTCTACCAGTGGGGGCGGGTCCCGGCTCAAAAGTGGCCAAAATGACGTGCGCTGACATGCTTGCGATACCACCCCGGGCCGATGGGGGTGGACCCAGAAGAAGAATTAGCCAATGCAAACATATAGCATTGGCAGACCTCTCAAAAACGTCTTTACAGGATGGACCAAACGTTGGCTCTTGGCCCAAAGCTCCGTTCCACATGTGTGTCAATGCTGAGGGGGGTGAATTTTTTTGGTCCACTCTAGTTTACTCGCTGTGAACTTTGAAGTCTCTCGTTCAAATGAATGGAGCTGCGCCGGCTGACGCATGCGCAGATGAGTTTTTTCACAATTTTCTTGTGGGCGGGACCACTCGCGGCCATTTTGGATAGCTCCAGTAGAGCAGTGTGGCCCAGTCCCAATACCCACACTGCACCCTACGCCCTCCTATGAAGTGTGCATTTGTTTGAAGTGCGCGCAAGGGTTGGAGTGCGCAGGTTACAAGTGTGCAAAAAAGGCAGAATTGGGACAGTGCACACTGAGTGCAGGTTACGTCATCGACTCGTCAAGAGATGGTCATTTTCAGACCTAAACTTTATAAACATTAAAGGTAACTTTGTCTGACCCTTTGGGAAACAAATTGAATTGCTTCACACATGTTAAAATGCATGTATATTAGTGGTTTTTAATTAGAGATAGCTGTATAATTTTAAGTTAAAAGTGGGTAACTAACTATCTGGTCAGTTTTTATACATTCTAAGATTATTGTACTAAGTGTAAAGTTTAAATTGAATGTTATATAAACGCTTGGTTTAAAAAGTTATTAAATTGTTAAAACACAATGTCCGTAATTCTTCATCCGACGTTTATGCTTCTTTCCAAGTAACATAGAAAAACTTATTTACACACATACTGCATATATATTTCAAAATGTATATTTAAATGCATTTTTCCGACGTTTTGGTGTGTACCGCAAAGAATTATGGGCAATATCCTTCGCCAGAGTGCGCATTGATGCAGGCTACGGCGAAGTGTGGATCAGGCACGCAAAGGGGGCGGGGCCAAAGACCTCCCTGGAGAATTGGGACACCCTACGCACTCGCACCCTTTATCGGGAACGCGCAAATGAGGGGCGCAAGGGTGGAAGTGCGAGTATTGGGACGGGGCCTATGTTTGGCCCATAAGTTAGAACGGCGGAGATAGGCGTGACTCTGTCCGTTAATATATGCAGTCTATGGTCACTACTCTGTTTATGTGGTTTACACCTGTAGAGAGCGGGGAGGGAGGGGGAGGGAGGGGGAGGGAGAAGAGATTGGGACAGAGAGGGAGAGAGACAGAGAGGGGTGAGAGAGAGAGAGATATAACAACATGGATATTATGTTCTGATATGTTTGGATTTAACCACTCTTGTAGATATGAAGTAGATAAATAATTACCAACTGGCCTGTGAATGCTATAGGGTTGATTAAACAAATGCCAAAAAGTGGCTTGAGGAGACAGACTTGTGACCACTAACTGTGCGGCAAATGTATTGTTTTTGTTTTCCTTTAATGTCAATGAATATACTGTATTGTATTTTTTAAATGAATTGTGTTTTTAATTTGTATTTAATTTTTAGGCTAGAAGACGTAACATCTGCAAAAGGGACTTCTAATGAAAAATAGCTAGATTTAGCTAACTTGGGCACGTTTACATCGTATAATGTTGATAAATGTGGACTGTCCCGTTTCAAATATATAAAAATTAAAATGAGCTGGAGAAAGGGGCGACAGTAGCTCAGTTGGTAGAGCATTGGCGTTCAGGCCTAAAGGTTGTGGGTTCAATTCCCACCTCGACACCTTCTCCACCGACTCCCACTGACGACTGCTGTCGTTGTGTCCTTGGGCAAGACACTTAACCCCACTTTGCCCAAAGCCCCCACTGAAAGATCAAGGCTATGCTCACACTCAGAGAGCAGCCGTCCTCCTGTGGACTTACCACCTGCAGAGGGTCAGTGAGGGGCTGGTGCTATGAGACTTCCCTGACCCAGAAATGGATTAAAGGGTAGAAAATGGATGGATGGATGGATAAAATGAGCTGGAGAAAGTGTGTGGATAGGGAAGTCTAGGCGTCTCTGCTTAGACTGTTACTCCCGCTACCCGGCAATGGATGAAGTGATTTAAAGGAATAGTTCACCGTTTTTACATACTGACATATGTTCTTACCTTACCTTAGACTAGTTAATACGTACCTGTCTGGTCTTAGTCCGTGCGCTCTGTCATGCAAACGGAGCAAAAACGGGTCCTACTGTGTAGGACCAAAAGGTAGCTCCCGCTAGAAGCTACCAAACTCTTCCAAGTGTTCCCTATTAAATGTATATAGTTACGTGACGTGTTACACTGCAAAGTATAGGAGCGCTACGTTAGTGCACGGACGTAGCGCTCCTAAATTCTCTGCGCACTAACTTCTCTCCGGAGACTTCTCTCTCGCTGCTACTGTGTGTACTACAAGTCACGCTGCTTCTATTGACGGAAGTGAGCGAGAGAGAAGTCTCCGGAGAGAAGTTAGTGCGCGGACGTAGCGCTCCTCAGATTACTACGCCTCACAATATAGTACCCGTTTTATCCGCTGAGAAAATCGACTGTTACATTTCTGTGTTACTATACTTTGCAGTGTAACACGTCACGTAACTATATACATTTAATAGGGAACACTTGGAAGAGTTTGGTAGCTTCTAGCGGGAGCTACCTTTTGGTCCTACACAGTATACAGAGGAGGCTGCGGTTGTGCTCCCGTTTTGCTCCGTTTGCATGACAGAGCGCACGGACTAAGACCAGACAGGTACGTATTAACTAGTCTAAGGTAAGGTAAGAACATATGTCAGTATGTAAAAACGGTGAACTATTCCTTTAAAATGTTTAACATGCCATAGTAGACCATTACCATTAAATCTGCAAGTTACTGTAATAACATCATTGAAAATCATTTCAGGTAACACTAAAAATGGTCGCAGGTTACAGGCTTTTTGAGCGGGAATCTGGCAACCAAAGAACCAATCACGAGTCATGCTGGTCTGGTCCATGTATTTACAGTCTGTGGTCTCTGATATATCTCTATGGTTAGTTAGAGAGTACGTTATCTGTGATGGGTGACACAGGAGGACTCACTGGTCTCGCTCTGGCCCTTCAGCACCAGTGCACTCTAAGAAGTCTCCAGGTCGTACAGAACCACGTCTCCAGAGCAGAAGGACGCCACCATGTGGGTGAGGTCGGTACCATTAAAGTCCACTGAGGTGGAAGTGCCGTGCTCTGGAAACACGCCACAAAGAGTTAGAGTCTGCTCAGTACTTACAAATAGTAGCAGCAGCAGCATCAGCAGCACTCTCACCTCTGTCACCTCTGTCAGAGTTGAAGGTGGTCACACAGGGCGCTCTCTCCTGAGGGTTCCACAGTTTCACCGTGCCGTCGGCGAAACACGTCAGGAGGCGGTTTTTGATGCCACTGAACTCCAGACCCCATACGGCGTCGGAGTGACCATTCCACGAGCCCGCCAACACACTGGGCGGCACGGTGGCTGAGTGGATAGCACTCTCGCCTCTCAGCAAGAAGGTCCTGGGTTCAAATCCCGGTTGGACCAGGGCCTTTCTGAGTGGAGTTTGCATGTTCTCCCCGTGTCTGCGTAGGTTTCCTCCGGGTGCTCCGGTTTCCCCTACCACTAAAAATATGTACAATAGGTATGGCATGTGCCTCCTGTACTGGCACCCCCACTCCCAAAAAAATAATAACAATTGTAAACCGCTTTGAGACTCCGATGTGCAGTGAAAAGGCGGTATATAAATAAAAGCTTACTTACTTACTGGTATCTGATTGGATCATGGCAAGAGAGAGAGACAGAGAGACAAACGTGTTATAAGAAAGATAGGTACCCCAGCTTTAATCTGCATGGTTCAGGACAGAGCAGTATGATAGTATTTGTGGCAGCAGTACTGTATGTGTCGTAGGGGTCCGTGTTGGCGCTTGGGATGTTCCACCAGTGAATGAAGGAGTCCGGACCTCCACTGAAGCACTGCTCTCCACCGGGGGTCACCGCCAGGGACAGGACGGGACCTCTGAGAGTGGAGACACCAGTCAGGTTTGGGGAGAGGCGAGCACACTCACAAACACCACATTTTAAGCTGAGAAATCACGGACTGTGGCTTGAACATCACAAACACAACTGTCACCATCACTACTGTACGGGAAATGGAAAAGACCCCTCATCCCAAATATCTGACAACAGTGAGCACTCTCCCTCTCTTTTTGCATTGTCTTTTAAAATAGAGACTTATCCACATAACTTTGGGTTACCTCTTTCTTGTAACATATGCAGCCCTTCCTCTGCACTGATAAGAAGCCTTTAGCGTCCCTGTACGGGCTATTGACCGGTCGGCACTAGATCATTTACGGAATCGGGACAATCCAACAATCCTACTTTCGAATTAGTTTTAGACTAAAAAGTCCTTAAGTGGTGACTGGTTAAGTTTTAGGTGTCTGGGTAAGATGGTTAAGGTTAGGGTTAAGGGTGGGTTGGGGTTATTTTATGGGAATGGATGGTTAAGTACAGGCATGAAAAGGTATTTTGCATTGTCATATTTACTTCCGCTTCCATCCCGATTCCGTATATGATCTAGTGATCATATACCGGACGAATACGGGACGTCCGGAAGTTGAGTTTGCGCATGTCAAAAAGTTTAATATGTCCTTAAGTGGTGACTGGTTAAGTTTAGGTGTCTGATTAAGATGGTTAAGGTTAGGGTTAAGGCTGTGTTGGGGTTATTTTATGGGAATGGCTGGTTAAAGTGGTTCTCACCCCCGCTCCTCGGAGCTTACGTCACTCACATTTCCTGTTCAAATCTTCCTCTAAATGGGCGTAGCCTGGAGGACTAAAGGGGGCGTGAACGAGACTGGGCCGTTTACATTGCTCTGGGCGGGGGGCTGCTGACGTCAGGTCTTGCTTCAGACGTCAGGTCTTGCTGCCGCGCCAGTGTTGGCGCCAGATTCAAAATTCAAATGTAGTAATACAGGTCGCCAGCAGATGGCGCCTCACAGACGGTTTTAGGCAGAAAGTTTAACTTTCAACTAATTTGCACCAAAGTCACAAAATTACGACCAGGATATGTAAACACTATTGGACACTCATTTATACCGTTTATCAGCAAAAAAAAAGTGGATTTGAGGGTGAGTTGTCCTTTAAGTTTAGGCATGCATAGGTAGTTTTTTACATTTACTTCTGCTTCCGTTCAGATTCCGTGACGAAATCTACTGCTGCGTATGCTAATTGGATCAAACTGAACTTCCGGACGAATCCGGTTTCCGGGACGAATACGGGAGTGACACCTAATAGATCCATGACCCTAACCCTAACACTCTGACCGATTGACCAGATCCATCGACGTCATCCAGTCACGTGACTGTGCGTGAGCTTACGGCGGAAGTAGTGGAAACTAGCATTGCGGCGAGAGCAAAATGGACTACAACTCTTAAAAACTAAAATCGAGAAGTGGCTGCTTCAAGCACATGTTCGATAACGTTATAGGTGGAAGTAGGACATCTTGTCAGGGCTCACAAAGAGCGGTATTTGGAGAAGTTAAGGATCGCCGAACTGGATGTTGACCCTACCTTCTCCCCACTTTATCGATTAAATAAAATGTCCAATTTTAAAATGAAATGTCCAATTTTGCCCGAATTCACCCTGCATGATCTTTATCATCATGTCGTTAACAATGCATCCACTGGAGCAGATTTATATGTACATTTTGCTGGTAGCATTAGCAATAGTCCACTTTTCTGTGGATTTTCTGTCTACAGCCAAACATGATACATATTGACCGAGAGGAAAATAGTGAAAAACGCATCTGACGTCTCTTATCTAGGTAAGATCCTTTATTCGTGGCACAGTGGGGACATTTCAACGTTGCAGCGCCATACACGACAGTAGAGACACGTTTGACTTGTGTCATTGTCCTCCAAATTAATGGAAATAAAATAAATACAAACTTGTGATTGATTTATCTTGTAAAAAGTTCACTGCATATTAGGGAGTACTTGGGTGGCTCCCAGTCCTTGATCGCCGCCATCGTCGTCTTCTGTCTTCATGACGAGCAGGTATCAGATAAAAAGACACATTATGTCCTTGCCTGTTAGTACAACCAACCGCACTGCAAAATATCACAGTTTTGGCTGTAATTCGGTGAAACAGGTTGTTTTGGTCAGGTGTCCGTAGGCTCGCCGTCTGTCATGGAGAGTGGGCGCGGCCGGGACGTCACATGCACGGGGCATGAAAGGACATGGCTTGGCTGGTTAGCGTTAGCAACCTAGCTTCAACAATATGACAAAACATACAACACCTCTGTGCTTTTTACTTTATACTGTAGCTTAAAAATGCCAATATTTACAGTCTATGCCTAAAAAAACACAAACAGCAATGAGTTTAGTCCTTTCTGCAGCCTCAGACTCCGCCATCAGCTTGAGTCAAGTAGGCACAAGAGGAAGGCGGCCACAAACATATTATGATAGCGTTTTTATGTAGATATTTTATTGTTAAGTACGCTATATATGTTCACGTTTATATGTAAAAAAAAATCGTATAAATAGATTATAACGTATAGCGCGCAGTAACGTAAACGTCACGCGCCTTACGTCTGGTATAAAAAGCGAGCATCAGTTCAAATAGTCTCTTTCTGCCGCCTTTAACGTGTGTCAAACCGCTGTGAATTCAACCTAACCATAACTATGGTAAGTCTTTGAGTCTTATGTGTTGTGAGCTTAGGTAACGTTTATTGTGTTGCTTGTATTGCTTGTAATGCTATTTGAATCAATGCCGACGTAGATTGTGGTCTTGGAAGTTTGATTAGGTAGTTTCCCGCTTTCTTAAGTATTGTATGAGTGAAAGACTGTAAACGGGTTTAAAAGTAATTATACAATGATAATCCTACTAAATAACGACGGCACGTGTTTATAGCCGTTTGTAAAAGCTTTATGTGTGACATTAGTGCTCCACTCCACGCTCTGCGTTAGTACCATTTCAACAGAATATAGTGCGTGTTTGCCTGGTAACCAGGGCAACCGCCGGATCCAACAATTATAAACTCTATTGCGCGGAAATAAGACAGAGACAGACACTTTATTTATCATAAGCCCTATTCGGACTGGATTAGTTTCACATGGGGACCCCTGGGAATTTGTGATAATCACGGAGGACGTCTGAGATCTGACAGCGCATTCACACGGGATAAGCAATGTCTGTAATTTTCACTGACATCTCACATAACGCTGCATGTGCGCGGGTCTCTCCACTTCACACAGTTCATAAAGTCTGGCGTCTGACCACAGCAGCCACAGAGACCATGAGGACAAACACATACACGTGGATTTTACTGCTCTACAGTTCTCTGGCCCGTACTTTCTGCAATGTTTAAACAATACTTTTTGTACGCACTACCCGTGAACGCCCCACTCACTGCTAACATACTACGTAAAGTACTTTAGTAACCTTTACTCACTTTTAATGTGTGCTAAAACTGGTGAATATATATATATATATTTATATGACTGAAATACAGCAAAAACACCGTTAATATAAGAAACTTTATTGATCTCACAATGGAGACATTTACAATGATGTTCAATGTCTACTAGATGCTAACTGTGGTAGCTAGCACTGGCTCTGATGAACCAATCTGAGGCAGCTCAGAACCAGGACCAGTCCAGGACCAACACCTGGAGAAATTGACATTAACTGCCTCAGAAAGTTGGTTCCTAAGCAACCAAAAATATCTACTTTTGAATTTAAAGTTCAGCTTCAGACTTCTTTATTTATCTTTCCAGGGGCATTTCATCTGAGCAGACCAGGGCATAAAAGAAAACATAAACATTATAATGTCTGTGTGTGTGTCCAGCGTGAGTGTGTCTCAGTACACGTGGGCCAGGCCGGTGTGCAGATCGGAAACGCCTGCTGGGAGCTGTTTTGTTTGGAACATGGCATTCAGCCTGACGGACAGATGCCCAGCAATAAGACTGTGGGAGGAGGAGACGACGCCTTTAACACCTTCTTCAGTGAAACGGGAGCTGGGAAACACGTCCCCAGAGCTGTGTTTGTGGATCTGGAGCCCACCGTCATTGGTGAGAGTTTATCCACCTTTTCAGATCCTCAGCACAAGAACCTACTGTCACTGTTCCATTCTGTTAAAACTGTAAAAACTCTGACTTTAGATGAGGTGCGAACAGGAACCTACCGCCAGCTGTTCCACCCGGAGCAGCTCATCACTGGGAAGGAGGACGCTGCTAATAACTATGCTCGCGGTCACTACACCGTCGGGAAAGAGATCATCGATGTTGTCCTGGACCGCATCAGGAAACTGGTGAGTCATGTTAGAGGATCAGGAGCTGGAGTATTCTGATGAGTCAGGTTAGAGCAGGGGTCTCCAACCTGTAGCTCGGGAGCCATCATAGCTCGTCATCCCCTTCCAGGTAGCTCGCCAAAGGATTTAGAAATGACTAAAACCAAATAACATACTTCATCAGTCAGATTGTATAATTCACTTAGTTATTATCGCAAATGCACTTACATTGTGCACTGGTAACAAATGTGGTGATATGGGTGAAAAAGGTTGGCGACACCTGTGTTAGAGGATCAGGAGCTGGAGTATTCTGATGAGTCAACTTTGCTGTATTTGTGTCCTCAGTCGGAGCAGTGCACTGGGCTGCAGGGCTTCCTGGTGTTCCACAGTTTCGGTGGAGGCACTGGCTCAGGATTCACCTCGCTGCTGATGGAGCGTCTGTCTGTGGACTTTGGGAAGAAGTCAAAGTTAGAGTTCGCCATCTACCCGGCGCCACAGGTGTCCACTGCGGTGGTGGAGCCGTACAACGCCATCCTGACCACGCACACCACTCTGGAGCACTCGGACTGCGCCTTCATGGTGGACAACGAGGCCGTGTACGACATCTGCCGGCGCAACCTGGACATCGAGCGCCCCACCTACACCAACCTGAACCGTCTGATGAGCCAGATAGTGTCCTCCATCACCGCCTCCCTGCGCTTCGACGGCGCCCTGAACGTGGACCTCACAGAGTTCCAGACAAACCTGGTGCCGTATCCTCGCATCCACTTCCCACTGGCTACATACGCTCCGGTCATCTCAGCGGAGAAGGCTTTCCACGAGCAACTGACCGTGTCAGAGATTACCAGCGCCTGTTTTGAACCCGCCAATCAGATGGTGAAGTGCGACCCTCGCCACGGCAAGTACATGGCGTGTTGCCTGCTGTACCGCGGGGACGTGGTTCCCAAAGACGTCAACTCTGCCATCGCCTCCATCAAGAACAAACGCACTGTGCAGTTTGTGGACTGGTGTCCCACCGGCTTCAAGGTGGGCATCAACTACCAGCCGCCCACTGTGGTCCCAGGAGGAGACCTGGCCAAGGTCCAGAGAGCCGTCTGCATGATGAGCAACACCACCGCCATCGCCGAGGCCTGGGCTCGACTCGACCACAAGTTTGACCTGATGTACGCTAAGAGGGCCTTCGTCCACTGGTATGTGGGGGAGGGCATGGAGGAGGGGGAGTTCTCTGAGGCCAGGGAGGACATGGCAGCCCTGGAGAAGGACTATGAGGAGGTGGGCGCTGACTCTGTGGAGGAGGGAGAGGAGGGAGAGGAGTACTGAAGAGCGAGGGGGGGCGGGGGGAAAACACTGAATTTTATCCTCATGGTTTGTTCCCAATGACATTCAGTTCTTCACTGTTCACTGTTATAACCTGTTCATGTATGTTTCATTTAAATAAACAACTTTTGACCAACGTCTTGTTTGGAGTTAGCTGTGGGAATAAAACATTTTTGCAGAAATATTATCTCTCAAATAAGAGAAAGTTCTTTTGAATTCAATTACCTTTTACATTAGAACCTTTATTTCAGGATTGCTCTCATCTTGTTTTCATTAGAACTATCAGTCTCTAGTTATAAATTACACGTGTGACAGAGCCCTCTAGCTGCGACTCTTAAGGAGAAACGCCACAAAGCTCAAGTATGATAGACAAAATTTTAAATCATTTTAAACAAAGTGAAATAAACCTGGACTTCACTTGATGTTGAACCGTATTTAAACAGCTGAATGATCATGACCCGCTGATAAGTTTTACTGTTATGAAAATGTAATTGTTGCTGTACATACTAGGCCCAAACCAATAGATATAAAAGAGGACATTTAATGACACTGAATTAAAACAAGATACAGACATAAAAGAGAATATCACTCCCCAAGGAGAGATGGTTGGAGAGAGAGAGAGAACCCTGGAGGCTCTGGACCTCAGTATTAGGCAGCTACATGTTGCTTAGAGAGTCGACACCGACCAAGAGCCCAAACTAGTCCATCCCAGCTCTATATACTGCTGTGAGGTTACTCTCAGGTTCCACTGGATTGGTCAGGGGGGTCAGCCAGGAGCCAGCCAGTCCCCATGGAGGGGGGACATGGATATCAGATAAGGGGGAAAATTCATACCAACACTAACAACCAAATTCACTCAATTTTCACAGTTAGGTCCTTTGTTAATTTAAGATCATTGTGTTTTTATTGCGTATCAAATTGTACTTAATCCCAGTTAAAAATGGGCTATGGAGCAGTCTTAGGGTGTAGGGGTAAGAGGCTTTTTTTTTTTTTTTTTACCAGCATGAGAAAGGCTGCAGATCAAATAAACTGCCAAAAATGTACTTGTTTGTATATTACATTTCTCTCCAAACACGTACAAACTAAGTGGCCTTTTGATTTGTTTGGTTTAAATTGGTTAAGGTTTAGGTTCAATCTACACCACATACAGTGCCTTGCGAAAGGTTCATAGTACCCTTGAACCTTTCAACATTTGGCCACATTTCAGGCTTCAAACAAAGATATAAAAATTAAATGTTTTGTCAAGAATCAACAAGTGGGACACAATCGTGAAGTGGAACGAAATTTATTGGATAATTTAAACTTTAACAAATAAAAAACTGAAAAGTGAGGCGTGCAATATTATTTGGCCCCCTTGCACTAATACTTTGTAGCGCCACCTTTTGCTACAATTACAGCTGCAAGTCGCTTGGGGTATGTCTCTATCAGTTTTGCACATCGAGAGACTTTCCCATTCGTCCTTGCAAAACAGCTGGAGCTCAGTGAGGTTGGATGAAGAGTCTTCAGCTCTTTCCACAGATTCTCGATTGGATTCAGGTCTTGACTTTGACTTGGCCATTCTAACACCTGGATACGTCTATTTGTGAACCATTCCATTGTAGATTTGGCTTTATGTTTTGGATCATTGTCCTGTTGGAAGATAAATCTCCATCCCAGTCTCAGGTCTTTTGCAGACTCCAACAGGTTTTCTTCCAGAATGGTCCTGTATTTGGCTCCATCTATCTTCCCATCAATTTTAGCCATCTTCCCTGTCCCTGCTGAAGAAAAGCAGGCCTAAACCATGATGCTTCCACCACCATGTTTGACAGTGGGGATGGTGTGTTCAGGGTGATGAGCTGTGTTGCTTTTATGCCAAACATATTGTTTTGCATTGTGGCCAAAAAGTTCGATTTTGGTTTCATCTGAACAGAGCACCTTCTTCCACGTTTGGTGTGTCTCCCAGGTGGCTTGTGGCAAACTTTAAACGAGACTTTTTATGGATACCTTTGAGAAATGGCTTTCTTCTTGCCACTCTTCCATAAAGGCCAGATTTGTGCAGTGCACGACTGATTGTTGTCCTATGGACAGACTCTCCCACCTCAGCTGTAGTTATCTGCAGTTCATCCAGAGTGATCATGGGCCTCTTGGCTGCATCTCTGATCAGTCTTCTCCTTGTTTGAGATGAAAGTTTGGAGGGACGGCCGGGTCTTGGTAGATTTGCAGTGGTCTGATACTCCTTCCATTTCAATATAATTGCTTGCACAGTGCTCCTTGAGATGTTTAAAGCTTGGGAAATCTTTTTGTATCCAAATCCGGCTTTAAACTTCTCCACAACAGTATCTCGGACCTGCCTGGTGTGTTCCTTTGTCTTCATGGTTCTCTCTGCGCTTTAAACAGAACCCTGAGACTATCAAAGAGCAGGTGCATTTATACGGAGACTTGATTACACACAGGTACATTCTATTTATCATCATCAGTCATTTAGGACAACATTGGATCATTCAAAGATCCTCACTGAACTTCTGGACTGAGTTTGCTGCACTGAAAGTAAAGGGGCCAAATAATATTGCACACCCCACTTTTCAGTTTTTTATTCGTTAAAAAAGTAAAACATTATCCAATAAATTTTGTTCCACTTCACGATTGTGTCCCACTTGTTGTTGATTCATGACAAAAACTTTAAATTTTATATCTTTATGTTTGAAGCCTGAAATGCGGCGAAATGTTGAAAGGTTCAACTTTCAACTGTAATTAAGGCCATAGGGCAGAACATTCATTCATTGGCCTTAGAGCCTGAAGGTCGCGGTTTCAAGACCACCACAAGACCTACTTCACCACTCCCACTGATGACTGCTGTCGTTGTGTCCTTGGGCAAGACACTTAACCCCACTTAGCCTGAAGCCTCTGTGGACTCACCACCTGCAGGAGGATCAGTGAGGGGCTGGTGCTCTGTGTACTGGGTGCAGCTCTAACTGCCACCCCCCCCGACCCAGAAATGGAATAAGGGGAAGAAAATGGATGGATAGCAGAACATTCCAGGTAAAACATTTCCATGGATCTAAACCAAAGTGAACACTCGAGAAGTCGTCTTGTGCAACTCGGTCGCAGTAAAAAATGAAAATTCAAAATATCTTAACATGTAAAATGTTTATTGAAGTACAATAAAACTGCATTAGCCATTGCGGATAAAAGTTAAAACACTGTGGCGCGGCACTCACAGCAAGCTGCGCAAAATAAATATTTATCTTGAGACTCTTGGCAAACTCAAACAATAAACACAGTCACACACTAAACGCAATCAATAGTATTTGCAACAGATTAAAAAAAACACCAAGGCCAAACTCACACAGTGTCAAAAAAAACAAAACAAATAACAATCACATACACACAAAAAAACAGGTAAATCGGGTGTTTTGTGAATTAATTTACAAGGGAAAAAAGTGACCCGCTTTCTCAAACCAACTGAACTAATACAAATAAAACAATTTTGTTTTTGGTTTTTGGAAATAAGCCAAAGAAGATGCTGTTCGACACATCAGGGAAACTGGAAAGTGCTTGAAGACGGTTGTGAACTAAAAGAGTAGCGGAGTTATCAAAAGAAAGCTTGTCTAATCTCAAAATCAAAGTGAACCAGGAAATGTATTGTTTTTGGATGAAATTTGACCTCGTGTCAAACGGGACTCAAAATAACAAGTCATTTAAACAAGACATTTTTTTGCTGTACCTCAAAAATCCTTGTTTGAGTACATCTCTGAGTCCTGTCTCCGTCCTCCGCTCTCGGACTGGAGCTAATGGTACGTTCTCTGTCCCATAGCTTCCTCTGTCCCTCTCCACTGCTCAGTCTCCTTTTGGTACTTTTCTCTCTCACACACACACACTAGCTAAAGCAAAGTGCTGTGTGCCTCGCTGGACACACACGAGCACATCTCGGCCCTCAACACACTCCACGGGACTCAAAGTCTTTTTTAACCAAGACTTATCCTGCCTTTTCTGGGGGAAGCTCTCGGATCGTAAACACACAAACGCTCACAAAAGCCAACCCTGATCTCTCTCTCTATTTTTAAATCCCTCTCCATGCCTTCTAAACTCTTCCCCTTCTCTGACTGCTCTCCCTCTGCTTTAAGTGTCTTCTCGTCCGACTGAGAAGCAAGCAGACTTTACTAGTTTGGGCTGCTCAAAGACTGCGGTTGACCCGGTTCAGCCCACTTTGGCCCAGCTCAGGAAGGCCGGGATGTCTCTGACTGGGACGTTCCGGGTCAAAGCTTTGACGCGGAGGTTACGGTCGTCTGTGAGGAGGACGACTTCTCTCCTTAACCTCACCGTCCCGTCTGAGGGGAAGAGGAATGCATCAGGATAGTAATAGTGTGCTTGGAACAAAATAATAATAATAAACAACGTACTTTTCTTATCAGGCATGAAGTCCTTGGCTTTGTCGTTGCAGTAGTGAAGACAGCAGGACAGAATGACGTCATCGTTGTTGCCCTGAAACACAGAGAGACGGTGAAGGAGGATGCAAGAAGAGCCCAATTCATCTGTTTTTCATAATGTTTAAAATGTTTTGGGGCCTTCAAAACTTATGAATATGCAGGTTGTAGCTTTGTAATTATGTTAATGAAATCATCTTGATCCCAGACTGGTCCTGGGACTGGTTCAGAGCAATCTCAGCTTGGAGCATATGCTGGTTACCATAGCAACACACACTTTACTTACATGTTAGTATTGAGTTTTGCTGAATTTCATTCATCTTAACCAGTTTCAGCATGCACTGAAGATATCGGCTGTATGAGTGACATTTAACCCCGCTCCCATCTCTGTGTGGAGTGAGACAAATGCCCACAATGGTAAACCGCTTTGTGACTCTGGTCTGTGAAAGGCGCTATCTAAATAAAGATGACTTACTTAATTATGCAAAGAAGAGGTAGGCGTTTATGGGCATTTTAGTATTTTTTGTACTTCTGCCTACTCCTTTGGACCTCTATGTAGCACTTACATTGTATATTTGTTGTTGTATCAACTGTATGTATCGCAACTGAACTGAACTGAAATTCAATATAATCAGTGAAATATCAAATACTTTTTTGGGGATATTTGCAGAATTCCATTACTTTGAATGGGAGCCATCACAATGACTGCTCTGGGAGTTCTAGTAGTTTCAGAATTCTGGGAGTCCTAGTGTTAATCATTAATTCACCTGTTGCCCAGACGTATCCTCGCTGCGGAATGCAATCGATTCCAGTTGATTTCCGCGACTGGTCAGAGCTCGGAGGTACGGCTCACGTGACTCAAAACCTTTCTCCAAGAACGACACGGCAGCTCTGGCCTTCTCCTGCACCGCCTTTATGTGAGCAGCGTTCACGTTGGAGTTTGAACGACCACCTGACCCCGGCCCCAGCAAATTGTCCTGCCCTTTAGCCAGACCGTCCAGCTCGGTAATCACTGGTGGAGGGAAAAGCCAAAAACACTTTAGCATGGGTAAACTACAACAGGTTCCTTAAGCATTGTAAAAAAAAAAACATTTAAAAAGGTCCCACAGTGGGGAAAAAAAAAATACAATATATCATCCCCACCGCTGTCAGACTGTACAATAACTCACTTTAAGTCACTAATGACCTGCACTAGGACTGAAAAACTAGCACTGCTTTTTTATTGTACATAATATATCCTGCACAGACTATATTTTTAACCTTAACATGTTGCACACTTCTGTCTTTTGCACAATCTGAGTGATTCTATCTGTGCCAAGCGTGACATGTACATTTCTCCAGTGTGAGATCAATAAAGTCTATCGTATAAGTAGCTGATATGCTAATTAGCTAGCTGCAAATGGTTCAGTATCAATATAATTAACTCTATTTATCTATCTATATTCAATCCATTTTTTTCTTGTACAGCCCTAAATCACAACAGTAGTTATCTCTGAGGACTTTACAAAACCGTTGAATTTGAAAAAACAGATCAGAGAATCAAACGGTTGAAAAACAAGGGGCTGATGTCCATAAATGTTGTTGAACGTGTAGTGTCCTATATCTGTAGTATAATTGTCAACATATCTGGCAGGTTAATTAGTAGATAAAGTGACATTCTGAAACTGCAGTCATAGTTGTCGATACTGTTTGTAGATTTCTGTCTCACCGATAAGTGGCACAACAATGATGTAAGCGCCACTTTGCAGAAGTTTCTTCAGTCCGTCCAAATGATCTACGAATGCATTTGTGTCAGGAACCAGAAAGAAAGGCTGCACCTCCAGCTCCAGCGGCCCGCCCGTTTGCAGCACGGCCTAGACCACAAGTTTAAACACAATTAAGCATTTAATTCTGTTCATCTCTTTCACTTCCTGCCAGCTTCTTCTCACCATAAACTTATCCTTTCTTTTCTGCTCTTGAGCCAGTTGGTTCACCAGAGCGTGGCGGCGTGCCCTCAGTTCCTTAATGCCGTTCTCGCCATCGTCTGCCTCGTCGATCTCATCTCCCTCTGAAGCCGAGACGGAGGAGTCTGCTTCCACGATCACATCCTCTGACTGTTGGACGCAAGACAAACCATTATGACAAAGAGACAAAGAAGAATGGCGCATTTGGAATGAGTCAGGAGCAATAATCACCTCTTTCAGTGTGGACGTAACTTGTTTATTTGTTACATTAGTGTTTGGCGAACAGGCCACAGAGACATATTTGCCACCTTTAAAGGCCAGCAGAGGCTCTTCCTGTCCACACAAGGCTTCCAAGAAATATTTGAGTACAGTCACCCTCTTACAGTCTTCTGCAATTGTCTGAAAAGTGCAGCAAACAAAACAACATGTGTTAATAACCTGTTTCAAACTTTGATCCTCTTGATATCGAAGCTTTACCATCTCTGTCTGTCCGTCTGTGTAGCACGGCTCCTGTGGTGCAGCCAACAGTGGCACAAAGCCAGCGAGCAGTCGGTCCTCTTTGAGCTGCAGCAGCGACAGGTCCTCGTCTCCCTCCACCTCCTCTGAGTCCACTTTGTACAGGGGGACCTCCTCGTGGTCCGCGAGGGCCAGAACATTACACAGGTCAGCCAGGCAGCGCCACACGTCAGGGCTGGACCTGTTCCAACAACAACAACACGTTACCTTTTCACATTCTTTCATCCAGACAGTGTTAACTTTGAAGCAGACGGAGTCGTACTGCAGGCCGCAGGGCGGGGGGTTCCACTGGGTCGGTTGCCCCAACATCCAGTCAGACCAGACTTTGATACTGGGCAGCAGCTCGCGCAGGTCCTGAGGGAACGCAGAGACCCTCACCATCGGCTCCTCTTTGTCTCCTGCAGTGGACACAGTTTCTGAGGCAAAGGTTAAATTATATTCAACAGTTAGTTTAAAATGTCAACTTTCAAAATGCAGCTTTTACCTGTTTGCATTCCTCTGAGTATATCCGTGCAGCGCTGCACCAGGAGAGCGAACATGGCCAGACCCAGAGCAGTGCTCTGCTCCTGCAGCACAGAGCGAGCCTCTCCCTCCTCCGCTGTGACATCACAACAGAATCAACGTTAACACTGCTTTCATGTTTGTTGCTTTAGTTCAGTGCTTTTAAATTATAACCAACAGCCAAACATAATGGATGTGTGTGTATACCTCTGTGTGTGTGTATACGTGTGTGTGTGTGCGTACCTCTGTTGTGTGTGTGTGTGTACCTCTGTTGTGTGTGCGTGTACCTCTGTTGTGTGTGCGTGTACCTCTGTTGTGTGTGCGTGTACCTCTGTTGTGTGTGCGTGTACCTCTGTTGTGTGTGCGTGTACCTCTGTTGTGTGTGCGTGTACCTCTGTTGTGTGTGTGTGTACCTCTGCTGTGAGCGTTGTGGATGGTGAACATGTTGATGGTGATGATCTGCAGCAGGACTGTGCTGCTGAGCACTGAGGGGCTGTGATGGAGGAGAGTCCGGAAGTCCTGAAGGACACGAGCAGCCACCGCAGCGAAGGACTCCATTCTGCAGAGACACACACACACACACACACACGTGGAGTGATGTCACAACCATCAACATGAGTCACAGCATCTCAAAGATACAATCTCACTCACCCCACTTTAGTGAAGAGCTTCCCGTGAGCGTGCAGGAAACTCAGAATAAACCTTTTATTCAGCTGCAAGGACAAGACATGACTAACATCAGTCTCAACAAGAAAACATTTTCAAAGACAGGAAAACAAATGTGGACTCAGAGTCTTGAGGCAAAGACAACAGACAGACATCTTTAAGTGCCATTATTGCCCCAGTAAATATTTCTAAAGCATCCATTTTTAAAGTTTAAAAGTACAATAAAAAAAATCATTTGGGTCAGAACTTACATCCCCCGTGCTCAGAGTTCCCAGCTCTCCATCCTGCTCAGAGTCTCTGCTGGACTCGCTCCCCCCGCGGTGGGACGGGCCCGAAGTCTGAGCCGTGGGTCGGATCCAGATCTCCACTCGGCTGCGGTCCTCTCTGCCCCTGCCCTTCACTGTGGGACCCCTGGAACCATCGTCACACTCCTGCTTCCTCTTCCTCTCCAGCTGCTCTGCCTGAAGGAGAAAAAATGACGGAGTCCCGTTTGGAATTGGAATTGACGGTGCACAGTTTATATAATAAAAAGTCACCAATTGTCACACCTTGCGCTTAGCCTCTTCAAACAAACTCATGAGACTCTCCTTCGCCGTCAGGATTGGGTTAGAGGCCGCCAAGCTCCGCATGTAGTAATACACAGCGTCCAACTTCCTTTTCTGTGACAGGAACATTTAAAAAAAGTTAGAACAAACATCAGAATCAGAAGTGTTTTTATTGCCATTGCGAGTAACAGGAAGTCAAAAACTAGAATATTGCTTTGGCTGTCGGTGCAATAACGTTATAAAAGTTAAAATAGAATACAAATAAAATAAAAACAGAATTAAAAAACAAGACATTGCTTAAAATTACTACCACCACATGTATAAAAGTAGAAGAAAAATACAATTAAATTAGGGTCTAAAAGGTTCTAAATGACCCAAGGCTGGTCGAAAGAATCATTCAGCAAGAAAAACAAACATTTTTTAGGTTATTTTTTTTATCACAGCTGCGACTCAATTTCACCCAGGGATTGCAAAAGAGAGAAGCAAGAGCAGAAAGTACACTTCAAAATCTTACAACTAATATGAAGCATAATGTTGCTAAAGGGGGAGGAGCTTACCGTATAGACCGCCAACAGAGCGAGCTGGTTGTACGGGCGGCCATTTTTAGGAGCAATCTGCTGAGCCTTGAGATACCAACTGAAGACAAGAACAGGTTTTAAAACTCTCAAAAAGATGAAATACAATACCTATAAAAAATTTTTATTTCATTATATTTTCTCTCTCTTCCTGTACGTAGTTATACCTTAGTATGAATGTGAAAGTTTATTTGATTTTATATACTTTATTTTGGGAGTTTTGCCTTTAGAGTTTGATTTGTCAAAATGGCATAATTCAAAAACATAACATAATCATAATGCAAAAGGAAAATATTACATTAAAAATTTAAAATAGAAAAAAATATGTAAAAAAAGATTGAAAAATGTTTTATATACATAATAATAAAATATATACAATGTTTAACAGTGTTTTAAAGCGGTGTGGTATAACTAATCTGCTGTCTGAAAATAAATAAATAAATAAAAAGATGAAATACTTTATAATGTGCGTCAGCAGTTAGCGATGTGTGTGTAATGAGTGTGTGACAGAGTGTGAGCGGACCTGCGAGCTTTGCCGTAGTTTGTGGAGTCGCTGGCCTGTTCTCGGTAGCGTGCGATGTCGCCTTGGCAGATCATACATCGCTGGGCACTGATCAGAGCATACTTTACCTGAACAACAAGAAATCAAGAGTCATTTAGTGTTGCTTTCACTCAGGGGGTGTCAAACAGCTTGACACACCTGTGTTTAACTTGGACAATATTTAACTTGTACAACATTCTTGAATTGCAAATAAATGCGTTTGGACTGTACCACTTTCCGCAGAGGTCTGGCTCTTATGGCCACACCGTCCATGTAGTCCTCCAGCTTAAACTGATACACGCTCTGCAGTTTCTGGAGCAGGGTGTCGAAGAACAGAGCTCCCTGAAGAACAAAGGAATGTGAGACGTTAGATTTTCAAATGGCTTCAGTGGTTATGGTTATGGTCATCAACACGCGACGCCGGAGGTCGACTCTGGAGATTTGGTTGTTCCTTTTCCAAAGTCCAGCTGTATGAGGAGAACGGTTTGGTTATGATCCTCAGCTGCTTGGAATCAGCTGTGGCATCAGGGGAAACTAATAATAGATACATTTTGAAGAAAGAAATAAAACAACAATGCTTGAAATAATGTTTAAGGATGATGTGAAAGATTAATACAGTTTTGTTTTGTAATTGCTTTTTATACTGTTTGTTTGAAATGTTGACTAGCGACCCCTTGTGGAAGCTAATGGGGATCCAAATAAATGAATAAATCAAAGAGTCTGTCTTTCCTCCAGCCCTCACCTCGTCGAGCAGCGTGAGCAGAGTGTTCCTGGTGCTGGGGTTGCTCTCGTGGTTCGGGTCTTTCAGCAGTTGGCGAAAACGTTCAATGACTTGATAGAAGACGTTTTTCCAAAGGGCCTGGTCCACGTTTTGAGAATCAGAAAACTCAATATCTGAGAGAATCATCTGTTCGTAAAGGGACAAGAGGTCTGCCCTACAGAACAAAGAACATGTTAGTGTGTTAGTTTAACAACTTCAAAATAACTGGAATAAAAATAAATACAGCGACAGACAGAACAAGGACAGAACAGTTCGGTTTAGTTATGAGGCAAAAACTCAATCTGTCATAGTATGTAGAACCAAAGTGAGAGGGTGAGTGGGTCATGGGCCATCTTTAATGGGTCAAAAAATTTAATAAAATTTCATAGAGAGATCAGAATAATTCAAGTAATCAAGTATTTTCATCTTCAATTACTAGAGTAATCCATTAACAATACATCCATAAATGCATATCAGATGTGTAATTGTGATCTTTTTCCCGTTTCTTTATTTACAAAAGAAGTCAATAGAGTCCGGCACCACACGGAAACCACTCTGTGTGAAATAATTGCAGATCCACATGATTTTGAGTAATTACAGAAACTAACGGATAAAATTGAGGGAATGAAATTGTCAAGGTTTCTTTTTTTTATTCTTATCGATTACTGTGATCAATGGTCGCAGCTTGAGCTGTAGTGACGTGTTCAGGCCGAATCAGTTTAATAATACCAATCCAAACTTTTTCATTGTATGACCCACAATGAACCTAAGCAAGATTAGGTTAAATGTGTTTCTTTGTAGTCCCTAGAGTCAAAAAAGAAGTCTGAAAACATTCATTTAAATGTAAAGCTCCCTCTGACTGGAACAGTTAACCTTTATCCATCTGCTCTCTCACTTCTCTGCCTCTGTTTAAAAATGCTCTGCTCCAACACCTCCAGAAGCCAGGCCAGTGTTTTTGAGCATATGAACCTAAATTATATTCACTACTGCACTACTATAGATACTAGCTGTAATCTCTTAATTTATAACAGACATTATATCAACAACTATCAGTGTGTGTGTGTGTGTGTGTGTGAATGTGTGAACTTTGTCTTTTGTGTCTGTATTATTTTCTATGAATTTTGTTATATTGTTTGCTCTACTGTCTGCCTTACTGCATCTGTCATTTTGTGCATTTTTGAGGACCCCCTCGAAAACAAGATTTTTCTTCTCTAAGGGCTTATCCTTAAACACACAGAGAGAGGGAGACATTGTGCACACCTGAGCTGACCCATGCGATTCAGTCCGTCTGTGCTCATCCGGTCGCGGGACAGGAGGTTCCCCAGTTGCACCTCATGCGCGTCCGCCGCCCTCAGCAGCCGCCACATCTCCCCTCTGGCCTGCTGTTCCGCCTCCTCGTACGTCACGCTCCCCCCTCTATACTGCCCCACGAACGGCTGCCCCACACCAGCGTACGCGTCGTTAGCCACCTGGTACGGCCCCGCGTAGGGATAGGCGTAGCGCTGGTTGCTGGTCACCGTGGGGTTGTTGGCGGAGACCGGAAAGCCGTAGGGGTTATCCGAGTTTTGAAACTTGTAATAAGCCATGGCTGTAGCTTGAGGGGACCGAAATCCTTCTTGCTGCTGCTGGACCGGGGGGCTACCTGCCACTTCATCGTCCGTGTCCAGGAAGTGGAGCTGGGCGTGGCCTGTTCCCGTCTGAAAATATGCGTGTTGTTGATGCGACGATAGCTGCTGCTGTTGCTGCTGCTGGGTGTTGGCGAACGCTGGTTTCTGGTCCGGGTTATTGGGGTCCCACAGTCTCCTCACCCCACCGCCTCTGCCTCCTCTGCTTCGGGACGGCACTCCTCCTCCTACGCCTCCTCGAATCCCGCCGAAAAGTCTCTGCCCGACTTCCGCCTGCTGGGATATGTCGGTGCGGGACGGGAGCACGAGAATCCCACCTCCTCTGGCGCGTGGAGCCATGGCGAGTTTGCGGTGGTCAGTCGGCGACGCAGCGATTATTGTCTGTTTCTCGAATGGCACTTTTAGCACGCCTCTAGTTGCTTCTTTATTCCTGTTCGATGCATTTCTATCGCTTCTCGGCCTCTCTGCCGAACGCTCAACAGCCGCCCTCCTTCTGTCCTCCGCCACGTCGCTGTTCTCGCTACCATCAAGAGATTCGGTGTCAGAGTCTCCGTTGGTGGTCCAGCTTCGCAAATGGCGCCTGCGGCCTTCTTTGTTTAAAACCGCCATCTTGTTGTGATTCTCTTTGTGCTTCGGTCGCCTCCTGGAAGCCGCAGCCGCCCCGGGACAGTCGAGACTGGCCACGCTGCTGGCAGAGCTGCTGCTGTACGTTCGATTTCGGGAGCGTCTCATGTCGGTTTTGGAGTAACGCTTTGAGTTGGCCGTGGACTTTTGATTGTCTCTTGCCACCGCTCTATCTTCAACAGGTTCGCTTTTAACAGATTTCACAACCTCATGTGACTTATCGTTATGGATACAATCTTGTTTCTTGGCGTGCTCTCTAGATTTGTTTTGTTTTTCTTCTCCTGGTCTACTCATTCTATCTTTCTCTGGTTCTTTGTCCTTCTTCCTACGATTCAATTTCTTCTTATTCCCTTCTTCTGGTTTCTCAACTATTTTAATGTTTGTTTTGTCAGATTGCTTAGTTTTAGGAGAGCTGGCTTCTCCCGTCTCCCTCTCTCCAGACTTTTTTTCCTTCACGCCAAGTTTTTCCACTTTGTTGACAAGTTTTTCCATTAACGCCTTTTCAGCATTGCTCTCCCTCACAGATTGCGTTTGAGCTGAACTATTTTTATCCCCTTCCTTCTCTGTTGTGTTTGCCTGTGGCTGTATTTCTGTCTTTATATTCACAGTTTTTTCTTGCACGTCCTTTCTTCGACTGCCAGGTTGATAAAACTCTCTGTCCGGTTTTCGAGTTTTTCTTGGCGTCTTTGCGGGTCCGCCAAGTTCCTGTTGTTCCACCTCGTAATCAATGCATTCTTTTTCTTGTTCTCTATTGGCGTCTGTTTTAGCGAGTGGCGGTGTCCTTTTAGCGTTGTGAGTGTTACTACCGTCACCTCTCACTCTGTCATCATTTCTTTTGTTCGAAACAGCTCCTCCATCTGTGCTCTCCTGACTGTCCGCCATCTTTCTGCTCCCTTTGGGCAGTTTGTGCGATTCTACTGGGTCATGGTCCTCGAGCAGATCTCCTTCCTCGCCGTCTTGATGGCGGCGCCCTCCTGAGGGGTAATATCGCTGTAGATCTGGCCTCTTTACGTCACGCTTCTTATGGGACTTCTGTGGCTTCTGCTGTCTGTCCGTTAAATCGTCATCTTGTACTAGAAAACAGGGAGATTTTAATTACTTTGGAACTCAAAATCACAAGAGCGCAACACTCAACTAATCATATCAGAATTCATGAATGATATTAAATGCAGGATTAATAGTGTACAAACCAGATTAGGACTCTAAACAAGCAGCTCATACCAAGCCATCCAAGGTTATCTTCTCAACCTTAACCATTATATTATTAAAGGTTTATTCAAATGGGCGCAGGATCCAAAGATTCTTCAAACAATCGGATTGGCCCACTGCCCTCCTTCAACACAAAAAACTATTTATAGTTTCTCTTGATGACTGATTTAGGCTTAGAGGCTAGTTTATACACCCTGGAACCTTTCAACATTTTGCCACATTTCAGGCTTCTTTTTTGTCAAGAATCAACAACAAGTGGGACACAATCGTGAAGTGGAACAAAATTTATTGGATAATTTAAACTTTTTTAACAAATAAAAAACTGAAAAATGGGGCGTGCAATATTATTCGGCCCCCTTGCGCTAATACTTTGTAGCGCCACCTTTTGCTGCAATTACAGCTGCAAGTCGCTTGGGGTATGTCTCTATCAGTTTTGCACATTGAGAGACTGGAATTCTTTCCCATTCTTCCTTGCAAAACAGCTCGAGTGAGAAATGGCTTTCTTCTTGCCACTCTTCCATAAAGGCCAGATTTGTGCAGTGCACGACTGATTGTTGTCCTATGGACAGACTCTCCCACCTCAGCTGTAGTTATCTGCAGTTCATCCAGAGTGATCATGGGCCTCTTGGCTGCATCTCTGATCAGTCTTCTCCTTGTTTGAGATGAAAGTTTGGAGGGACGGCCGGGTCTTGGTAGATTTGCAGTGGTCTGATCCTCCTTCCATTTCAATATAATTGCTTGCACAGTGCTCCTTGAGATGTTTAAAGCTTGTGAAATCTTTTTGTATCCAAATCCGGCTTTAAACTTCTCCACAACAGTATCTCGGACCTGCCTGGTGTGTTCCTTTGTCTTCATGGTTCTCTCTGCGCTTTAAACAGAACCCTGAGACTATCAAAGAGCAGGGGCATTTATACGGAGACTTGATTACACACAGGTGCATTCTATTTATCATCATCAGTCATTTAGGACAACATTGGATCATTCAAAGATCCTCACTGAACTTCTGGAGTGAGTTTGCTGCACTGAAAGTAAAGGGGCCGAATAATATTGCACGCCCCACTTTTCAGTTTTTTATTTGTTAAAAAAGTTTAAATTATCCAATACATTTCGTTCCACTTCACGATTGTGTCCCACTTGTTGTTGATTCATGACAAAAAAATAAAATGTTATATCTTTATGTTTGAAGCCTGAAATGTGGCGAAATGTTGAAAGGTTCAAGAGGGCCGAATACTTTAGTCCGACCACATTAGTCCAGTTCTCAGGTCTCTGCACTGGCTTCCTGTGGCTCAGAGAATAGACTTTAAAACAGCTCTGCTTGTGTACAAGTCTCTCCATGGCCTCGCACCAAAATATATTAGTGACATGTTAGTCCCATATGAACCAGCCCGGACTCTGAGGAGCACAGGGACTGGACTCCTGTTAGTGCCCAGAGTCAGAACTAAACATGGGGAGGCAGCTTTTCAGATTCATGCTGCTAAAATCTGGAACAGTCTTCCTGAAGATGTGAGACAGGCCTCCTCGCTGACAATGTTTAAAACCAGATTAAAGACAGTTCTGTTTAGCTGTGCATACAACTGAGAGATTTTATATTTTTATCTTTCTTTTTAATGTTCTGTGATTATTTATGATTTTAATGCTTTCTTATTTTGTTCAGCACTTTGAATTGCCTTGTGTATGAATTGTGCTATATAAATAAACTTGCCTAGCCTACTTTCGCAAGGCACTGTACATGCATCCAGTTGGTTCTAGTCCATTCCTAGTCTAAAACTGGGTCAGAGCGAGGTTGATGAAAACGTAATTACATTACATTAATTAACACAAAAAAAGAAATTATCACATCAAATGTAACTTGTTTTACAATTCACAATATGTAATCCTCCAACCCAGAGACCATGATGCTTCGGAAAGACCAAACCTTGGTCACAAGTGCCGTAACTGGTCACTAACCCAAACCAAGTTTGACCAATGTTGGAAAATATAAGCGCATCATGAATTGAATGAGTCACACCTACCCAGAATGAAGCGGTTTTTGCCTAACATTATCTCGGTAAACATATCATTTTATTTTATTTGTGTTTATTCCAAAAACCAGCATTAACATAATTTGACAACAAAATAATACAATCAATAGATAAGGCTTGGAAAGGGGGGTTGGCTGAAGGAAACATGTAACTAACAATATATTATCGTGAGTAAGGTTTTATTAATGTTTATGACAGCAAAATATTAGAAGATTAGAAAGTTGTTGAAAATACATTTGTATTCCCAAATTCTTAGCAAATGTATAGTTATTCCATTGCTTCCCAACACTGACTTTTCAGCTGTACCGTGCTGAAAAAAAAATCTATACATTTCATTCAAGAATGTCAAATAATGGTAATAGAAACTTTAATTTGCAAATCAAGCTACTGGTGAATTTGGTCATTTTAGGCAGTTTCTTAAAGAAAATATTTCAATTTAGTCTCATCTTGAATCTAAAACATTACCACGGTAACGAACCAGAGAGTTGGTTCGTCAACTTTTAGTGTTTCTTTTTTAATCGCACTACCTAGCTAATCACTACTAATTATTATTGAATTTGTTTGTAAAAACAATTGCACTGAAATACATACACGTTTTTAAATAAATAAGCAAAAAACCGCAGAGATTTTACGAGAGAGCGTGAACAGAGACAGTAAGCTAACATGCTAACAACATTAGCACGACACAAACTTGGAAGACTCTTTGAGCTACTTTCACCTCACTCAAAAGTTTAAATCGTTTTATGAGCGGACAAGCAAAGAAACCAGGCATTTACACATCTCTCTACTGTCTTCTCACCTCGCTGACTGCTGCTGGTTTTGCCTGAATGTGTCACTTGCGCTCGGAGTTCTGCTGCAGAGATTCGCACTCTGTCGAGATCGTCCGCCATCTTTGCTTTCACTAAAACAAACACAACAACTACAGGAGCCGCACTAGATCAAGAACTGTTGAGCCGCATTGACAGCAGGCCATGCGTGATTGGATTTCTTTGCCAGTCTGTTGTAAGATAGCGATGTACACCGTCGAAAAACATGTCAAGGTAAAAACAAATAATACAAATCCATACCATAACTAAGTAACTTTATTCTACCAAGTTAGTGTAAGTTTTCAGTCGTGCAGGGATCAGTCAAAGCAAAGAAAGGTTTCTCACATATCATCTGTACTTCTTCTGTACATTATCTGTAAGAAGTACAGATTAAATAAGAACGAAGTTCCATTTGCTCACTTGCTTTAATGAGTAACAGCAGTAGAATGACAATAATCAAACATGTCATGAGCGTCTGATGAAGCCGGAAGGTTTACATGTTATGACTTCCTGTTCCGCTATGTCCTACAAAATAAAGGACCGTAATGCAATATTCCCTATCTCCCCCCGAGCCTTTAACACAGTAACACAAAGGCTGATAAAGAAAAACGGCACGAAGGACCATAGTGCAACACCAACGTGAAAGTGTACAGGGCAGAGGAACTAGAAACACAAATGGAAGATCCAACAGGAACACAATGCCCACAAAACCCCAAGACTATTCCAAGACATAGTCCCCATGCCAGGCAGGCACACCGGCTTTCCTGGTGGACCGGCGTAACCCCGTAGCTGGCGACGCAGCCGGCGGCGAAGGGGCCAAGGGGGCCACAGAGTCCGGTGGCGGAGTACAAGGGATGTCCCGGGCTGGCACCGCAGGCATGAGGGAAACTGGCCGCAAACCGCGGCGGGGAGAGCCCGCAGGTGGATGTGTCGGCGGCGGGGTGGGCCCAGACTCCACCACAGGTGTCACCGGGCTGCACACACGACTGGACGGCAATGGCGACACAGGAAGAGCTGGCATCGTGACACAAGGCGCCAAGTCGTCATAGAGAGATCGAGGAGGAAGCTGGTCATTGCGAACTGGGTAGAACTTGCGCAAGAATCTCCGGTTCCGAAGCGAGACCCTGCCCGATCCGTCAATCTTGATTACATACTGGTCATGCTGGCGCACCTCCACAACACTGCCCGTCCTGTCCCATTTGTTGGGGTGAGGTCCCGTCTGGTTCTGCACACGGACAAAGTCCCCCACCTTGAGGGGTGGGAGTCGTTTGGTGTGTTCCGCCCAAGCAACAGCAGTGCGGACGTGGCGTTTGCGGAGGGCCTCTTCTCTTGCAACCAGCGTCTCACGCCATGTTTCGTGCGGCCTGTACTTCCCGGGGGGAATCGGGATGAAATCGCGTATAGGGCGGCCGAAGACACACAACGCCGGAGAAAGCTTCGTGTCAGGGTCCGGTGTATTACGGTATTGCAGTATCGCCCTCTGCACCGCGTCAGTGTCGAGTTCGCCGTGCGGACCTGTATTGTCAGTGATGAGCCGCTTCATCGTCTTCACTCCAATCTCCGCGCGGCAGTTGCTGTGAGGGAAGGCCACCGATGAGAGGCGATGATGCACACCCCATCTGCGCAGGAAAGACCTGGTCTCAGCGGAGGTGAACTCAGGCCCCCCGTCTGATGCCAGCTCCTCAGGCGTCCCATATGTTGCAAAAGCGCGGCGTAGGTGGCAAATGAGGTCCGCAGCGCCACCCGTTGATCTCGAGACGATTGGCCAGTTCGAGTAGCGGTCCACTATCACAAGGTAGTGCACGCCCCTGTGCATGAAAAAGTCTGAACACACAGCCTGAAAGGGGTATACAGCCATGATAGGAGGGGTCGGCGGCGCCGCAGGCTGAGAGGGTGCCATTCGGTGACAGTGCTCGCAGTCTTTTCGAGTGGCGGAGATGTCGGCCGACATGCCTGGCCAGAACACAGAAGACTCGGCACGAGCGGTCATCATTGAGACACCCTGGTGGGCAGCATGCAGGGCACTCAGTACCTCACCACGGAGCGAGGGTGGAATGATCACTCTGTCCTTGTACAGGACCACCCCATCAGCAGATGTAATGTCTTCGCGGTATTGGTGGAAGTTGCGAATGGCCACCGGCATTCCTGTCCTCGACTCGGGGAAGCCGTCCGCTGCTATCTCCTCCAGTGCACGCATGTCGTCGTCGCTGCAGGTGGCCTCCTTGACGCGATCCCACGTCACGGACCGCAGCGATTCAAGCCCAGCAGCGCACCAGGTCAGGTCTCCTTCCTCAACTTCGTCGTTTACTGGCCCTGTCAGTCGTATAAGGGACAGGACATCAGCGTGTGTGCTGGGCGAGAGGTGGGTCACCATGGCAGCATTGTCGTCCGGCAAATCCATGGGTGACGGGCACAGCGTGCCGACCGGCCTACGCGACATGGCATCCGCGGCCCTGTTCTTCATCCCCGGCACGTGTACGATGCGGAAGCGATAGCGCAGGGTCTTTTCCTTGAGGTTCCTGAGACGGGGGTTGGGTATGTCGTCGAGCGCCCTGTCGCCAAGGAGCTTGAGTAACGGCTTGTGGTCGACCGCCACGATCAGGTCCCTGCAACCTAAGACGAAGTAGCGTGCTTTGTCCAACGCGTCAGCGACTGCAAGAGCTTCACCTTCTACGGGCGCGTATCTGGACTCAGCTGCGTGTGTAAACCTGCTGCCAACCAAGGTCACCTTCCACCCATCGGCGCAGCAGAAGGGTCTGACCGGCATGCACTGACAGTGCTTCTGGAACAGCCAGAAACCGACGCCCTCCCTCGACCAGTCTGTGGCGAGGCACGTCGACTTGGACTTGTCGAATATGCGGACGCCGTGCTCGATCTCCCGGACGATGGTCTCTTTCGACTCGCGGAAAATGTCCTCCAACTCCGGAGACCACTCAAAGCGTGTCTCATGCTGCAGGAGTTTCCGGAATGGTTGCATACGTTCGGCTATGCTAAAGGCGTAGGCTACCTGATTGACAAGTCCGAACCATGACCTGACGTCGGTGACGTTGCGCGGTCGTGGAAAGTCTCGGATCGCCTCCAGGTAACGGCTGCACGGGCGTACATCAGACATGGTGATTGTGAAGCCAGCAAAGTCCACTGTGGGTGCAGCAAAGACAAACTTATCTGGGTTGAGGATGATGCCGTTCCTGCCACAGACGTCCAGCCATTGTATTGCCTGGAAGTAGCTCTCCTCAATCGAATCCGCCCACAGTAATGTGTCGTCCACACACTTGGTCTTGTTGCCAATGTCCGCGACCACTTCGTCATAGCGTCGTGAGTAACCGTCCCCCGACGCCAAGTATCCTTGTGGGGCTGAGAGGTACCGGTAGCGCCCCCAAGGGGTGATGAACGTCGTCTTGTGGCGGTCGTCCTCATGCAGTGGGACGCTGTGATAGCCATTCCAAGCGTCGAACACAGTCTTGCGTTTGCCACTGGGAACCTGTCTCGCCTGGTGGAAGGGGGACTGTGTGTGGTGGGTCTCACGGAGCGCATGCTTGTTCAGGGCTTGGAAGTCGACGGTGCGCCGAGGTGTGCCATTCTTTTTTGCGCAGATTACCATGCGATGACACCACGTCACCGGCGTGCCGATGGGCACCTCTTCCAGGACGCCAAGACGAACGTCCTGGTCAAGGCCTGCCTTCACTTCATTTTGCCAGTGTATGGCCACGGGAATCGGGGTGTGGCAGGCAACTGGCGTCGCATTTTCATTGAGCATGAGTCGAAGTGGCGGACCGGACATTCTTGGCAGGGGCTGGTGGGGGCACGTATTGAATGTGCTCTGAGCGTATAGCCCCAGTAGGTGTTTCCGTAGAGCCTCTCTGTTAGCTTCAGTGGCCGGCATGGGGAGCGTAGTCGGTCTGGTTGGGGGCTCCGCGCGTTGCGGGCAGTCACATGGGTCCGAGGTCGCCAGGTTGACCTCCCCGAGCGTTGGAAACTTGTCTGAGATCATGCCCAGGTCTACACAGGCCGTACGAGAAAGGAATATACGGTCTGAGGTGTCTGTCACGTATGCGATTTGGCGCGTCTCCAATCTACGGGCGTCGCTGCTGGTACCAGCGAACCTGACGACGGCGGCCCCGAGAATCCGTATTCCCTCATCGTTTGCGGCCTTCATCGTCATGGACACGGGAATAAGGTCTTCTGTACTTAGTCCCAGCCGTTGGGCGACTTTGACACCGATTAGACAGCTCTGGCACCCTGTGTCAGCCATGGCAGGCAGGGTCACGGCCCGGGTGCGTTTCTGAAGGTCGAGGCCCAGCGCTTTGTAATCCTCGCGTTCGATGGTGATGGTGAGGTGGATGTATGGCTGTGGGTTGGATGGCCGCCTCGTCCACTTATCGCACATATCATCATACAGGTGGTGGGCGAGGGGAAGTGTGCGTATCTTGTCGTTAGAGCTACTTGCAGTCAGCGTGCATAGCTCGACGAATGCGGCCGTCTGCTGTTCGTCACACACCCCATCAGTCTCCTCTGGTGGGGGCCTAGGCGAACGACCACCTAAGCAGGCCTTGTCAAAGTGGTTCTGACGACTGCATTTTCGACATGTCTTGCCATATGCGGGGCATTCAGCACGCCTGGTGCGCCACTGTGGTGTTTTTCCATGGCCTGTCTCGCCGCAGTAGATGCACGTCCCCTCAGGCTTGACCTTTGATGTCTCTGTCCTGGTGCCCCCTTTGGTACGGGTGTCCTGCTGCTTCCCTCGTCGGTACGAGCTGCTGACTGCGTCTGTGCTCTGGGGACCAAGTAGCCGTGATGCTGAGCGCTTTCCTGACTCTTTAGCTTCGATGTATTCTATCATGTCCCTCAATGGCATATTTTGATTTTTCTCGCCAAGCAGATCAAGCTGTATTTCCTGGTCTGCTATGCCACGGGCGATTACGTCGCGCAGTATGTCCTCTGTGAAGTCATTGACTTGGTTGCACCCTTCTTTGGTGCAATTCATTTCATATTTACATGTGTCCGCCTGCCCTTTCAAGCGAGCGTAGAATGATCGGATGGGTTCTTCGTGTCCCTGTCGCATGTTAGACAGGGTCACCCGAGCTACCATTGTGTTCTCTGCACGCACAGCGAGTGCCCTCATGGCAGAGAGGACATCCTCTTCCTCACTGTCCACTAGACTCTTGCCTGCTGCGCGGGTGAGGTCCTTCCTCAGATCTTCCTCACAGCACTCTAGTAGTTGTGTAACAATGTCAGATCCGATCAATTTAGTCCCCCTCTTGTATTCACCCCAGCGGGTTAGAAAGTATGACCAGGTCTCAGCCGTCCCTGCCAACGCTATGGAGGGGCGCTTGAGTTTCTCCATCTTAGCATTCATGTATGGCTCCCTGGGGGCCGCAGCGTGCGTGGTCGCATGTATGTTCAGCATGGCTACCACTACTGCTATTTCTTCATGTGTGGCTACATAGTCACAGTTTTCAACAGGGCAATGCACGCTCATCTTTGGTCTTGCAGTGTTATGCTTTCTCTTCTTTGTTTTCTATGATGTACTCATTCATTCATGTTCCCGGGCGACGTTGCTCTCACTCGTGGTCCACTCACTTGTTTATCGATGCTGCAGGTGCTGCACTCTGGCGCAGGTGCTCTCTGCTCGGCATTGTTCGCATGTTTGATTATAAATAAGAACGAAGTTCCATTTGCTCACTTGCTTTAATGAGTAACAGCAGTAGAATGACAATAATCAAACATGTCATGAGCGTCTGATGAAGCCGGAAGGTTTACATGTTATGACTTCCTGTTCCGCTATGTCCTACAAAATAAAGGACCGTAATGCAATATTCCACCAAACTTTGGGATGGAAGTTGATTCGTCATCTAATTTGCATATTGTGACGTCCTCAAGGTGGCGGCCATTTTGGAAAATGTTAATTATTGTATAAAGACTTCAAAAAGCTGTAGCTTGGGAGTTATTTGAGATCAGTGAATACTATAAACAGTCAATGTGAAAGATCTTTAGTATGAAATGAATTTGGGATAGAAATTAATTCCCTGATCCAGATTATAGATAATGTTTTAGCACTGGTGCGCGGCCAATGGAATTGTATTATTTTCAAAGACCTTCAGTGATCAAGACAGCTCTCTTTATAGTTTACAGTCATGAAATCTGGAGATTGGTTTCAATATTTCCCTTTGAAAGAAGTGGTGGGCTTACTATTTTTCTCAGTGGAAATGAGGCTCCAGGATTTACCGTTTAGAAACAGAGAGATGAAATGAATGGGCACAGAACATGTCAGATCGTCTCAACAACATACAACAGGCTCTTCAACACTTCTGATCCACTTTTGTGGATTATTTTCTCTCAAGAACTGCCTTCATCCTCATCATCGCTGTTGGTAAAGGCAGTGAACGCGATTAGCGATGTGTTTTTTTCCCGCGTCTCCCGCGTTCCCCGTGTATGTCTATCCCCGCTACTTTCTCCCACATGCCCGGTGTTATGATGCCCCTGTCCCCTCGACCACGGCCCCTGCTTGGCGTTCACAGAATGCTTCTACCGCGGCCACACGGAGGACAAGCAGCCGCTGCACAGGGGCTGATTGTGGACTATGGAGCGCGGTCTCCCCGTCACCAATAATGTCCGTGTCTGCTTCACTGGACACCTGCGTGTCTTCCTCCTCTGAATCTGAGTGAGCCAGTACCAGACCAAGTACTTCTCTGGTACTGAAGACCTCTTGAGTAAAATAAAAAACTCTCTCTCCCTCTGCTCTGCTCTCGCTCCTCTCAGCTCTACCGCTGCCGTCTTTTACGAACTCAATTTACTCAAAAACCTTCAATATAACCACACCCACAAATGTTGCTCATATTACAGGCACACATGTCCACTAACCCCTGGTGAAAAGTATTAACAAGATTCTGCACCAAATTTTTACATACAGCCTGTTTAAGTGAGTAATGTTGCTTGTCGCAATATTCTAACTTTGGCGCTTAAAGGGTTAAGTTTAGGCATGAATAGGTACTTTGTTATATTTACTTCCGCTTCCGTCCCGATTCCGTATATGATCTAGTGCTGACCGGTCTGGTATCGACGCCATAGCGAACGCCTTCCCCAGATTATTTTTTAATCGACCAATCAGGATTGCCGGTGTTACGTGGGGTTTGCACTGCCTTCTCAAGCTTCTCTCATGCAGCAGCGAGAGGAATCCAAGATGGCGGACGTAAAGTCAGCGAATCTTTTTAAAAGAGTAAATACGATTGAATTAAGACACGGAGGTCACTTTTAATGCAATTTGAGGCGAGATGTTGATGGTTCTATGTTGATATATGTGTGTTTTAACCCTTTAAGCGCCAAAGTCGCAATATTGCGACAAGCAACATTACTCACTTAAACAGGCTGTATGTAAAAATTTGGTGCAGAATCTTGTTAATACTTTTCACCAGGGGTTAGTGGACATGTGTGCCTGTAATATGAGCAGCATTTGTGGGTGTGGTTATATTGAAAGTTTTTGAGTAAATTGAGTTCGTAAAAGACGGCAGCGGTAGAGCTGAGAGGAGCGAGAGCAGAGCAGAGGGAGAGAGAGTTTTTTATTTTACTCAAGAGGTCTTCAGTACCAGAGAAGTACTTGGTCTGGTACTGGCTCACTCAGATTCAGAGGAGGAAGACACACAGGTGTCCAGTGAAGCAGACACGGACATTATTGGTGACGGGGAGACCGCGCCATATAGTCCACAATCAGCCCCTGTACAGCGGCGGCTTGTCCTCCGTGTGGCGGCGGTAGAAGCATTCTGAGAACGCCAAGCAGGGGCCGTGGTCGAGGGGACAGGGGGATCATAACACCGGGCATGTGGGAGAAAGTAGCGGGGATAGACATCCACGGGGAACACGGGAGACGCGGGAGAAGTCGCGGGAGAGCCGCGGGGAAAAAAAAAACACATCGCTAATCGCGTTCACTGCCTTTACCAACAGCGATGATGAGGATGAAGGCAGTTCTTGAGAGAAAATAATCCACAAAAGTGGATCAGAAGTGTTGAAGAGCCTGTTGTTTCTTGTTGAGACGATCTGACATGTTCTGAGCCCATTCATTTCATCTCTCTGTTTCTAAACGGTAAATCCTTGAGCCTCATTTCCACCACTTCTTTGAAAGGGAAATATTGAAACCAATCTCAAGATTTCATGACTGTAAACTAAAAAGAGTGCTGTCTTGATCACTGAAGGTCTTTGAAAATAATACAATTCCATATGGCCGCGAACCAGTGCTAAAACATTATCTATAATCTGGATCAGGGAATTTATTTCTATCCCAAATTCATTTTATACTAAAGATATTTCACATTGACTGTTTATAGTATTCCCTGATCTCAAATAACTCCCAAGCTACAGCTTTTTGAAGTCTTTATACAATAATTAACATTTTCCAAAATGGCCGCCACCTTGAGGACGTCACAATATGCAAATTAGATGACGAATCAACTTCCATCCCAAAGTTTGGTTCAAACTGAAGATATTTCTAATTTACAGTATGCCTTTATCTCAAACCATTTTAAAGTTATAGCCTTTTGAAATCTTGAAATCAAAATTGTATATTTTCTTGAAAAAACTCTGGCGCCTAAAGGGTTAAGAGTCAAATGTTCCTGTAAAGTTTGGTTGAAGCACTGGTTCAGTGTTCCTGTTTACACACTATGCAGCAGGGTTGCCAGGTTTGGTGGTTCCCGCATATTTTTTTCCAAGAGACTTGTAGGTATTAGATAAACAGAAAGACAATAAATAGAATCATGATAGTCCAAGTTGATTACATTACGTTTTTAGCCAAAAAATCATTGTGTTTTTTTTTGTGGGTATTCTCGCGGATTTTGGGTTGGAAAATCTTGCTGGGATTTGGCTACCTATGGGAGCCGTGTGCTTCGATGTGAGTGTTTGAAAGCAGACTTCATTCAAGATAATGGACAAGTGGTCTATCCAATCACATACAAGGATTTTTTTTACAAGGCCCTGCCTTCTGAAATCCAACCACTATGGCTCAGTACCAGACTCATGTGTGAAGTGCAGCGAACTACATGGGTCTGGCGAGAGTCAGGCTACCGGTTTCCCCTACCAATGAAAACATATACTATGGGTCTGAATGTAATGTGTGAGTGAATGATGGGGTTGGTCGGGGCTTTGATGGTCCAGTGTGTGTTTGGCGACGCGTTTCGGTCTCATCCTGTGTAAAAAATCAAAATACATCTGATCTCTTGACATTGTAAAGCAGACATTGATCTGTAAAATGCGCTATATCAGGGTGCTTACGCAGGTCTTGAAAGTCTTAATAAGTATGGATTTTTTTCCAAGACTTTTGTGTGAAAGTCATGGGGAAAAAAAATATATATACAGTATATGGTAGAATTTCACAGTATAATCAAAGGTATTTTGAATAATGCATTTGTTCATTGAATACTAGCCTATAAAAATTTACATTTCTAATAAACACAGTTGTGAACCAATAGGGCACTGTCCGGTTTCCGAAATGTGCTAAAAATAGCTCAGATGACTGCGCATGCGCGCATGTTTCGGACAAACATTGTGTATGACTCGTTGAGTACTACTGTGTTCTCCACATACGCGTGTGTATTTACTTGGGCTAAATCATTAAATCATGATGGCAACAAAACACTGCAGTTATGGTGCTTGTCGGAGCGATTTCAGATACTCTGAAAAGGACTATATGAAAGGAGTAACATTCAACTCGTTTGTTAAACCACACCATCGAACCAGACCAGGACCAGACCAGGACAAGTGCAAGAGGTGGGTGCTTGTGGTCGGCAGAATTTCTCTCATGAAAAGGTTAAAAAGGACTCATATTTGTTCAAAACACTTCGCTGGACCAACTGTGGAGCCTCCAGATCCAGTCCTAGCTACGTTTGGCTGGGACTGGACCTGGACCGCTGTATCAGGTCCGTCTGAGCTCTTCTGAATGTAGTTAGCACACACTTTCTCTTTATACCATTTACCCCATCAATCCATATTAGTATTGTTTGTCCTAATCCAGAATATATACAATTCTCACACCTGAAGAAAGATGAGAGGGATTTTTTCAACTTTGTGACTTTCAGAAAATAAGTACAGACAAGCGCGACGGGGTCCGCTTATTATACTGCTTTGTACCATGGATGTATTATATTAACTGGATAGGGTATTACTAGCTTGTAGCTGAATAACTCATGTGCTCAGGGGATTCTCGCGGTACTGCAGACTGAATCAGACTAAATTCACGTGGGCTACCCAGAAATTTTCCCCATAGGACTCAATGCATAATAAAACAGCTCGACCTCAGCTGACAGAGAACCTACAGCTTTAATAAATATAGGATTTTGTGGGGATTTTAGTGTCCCTTGTCACCCTGAACTTTTTTTCTTCTTAAATCCTTCGGTTTTGTTTAAATCCACACTTTAGTGCCACAAACTCTGCTCCTCTGGCTCTCGCTCTAACTCCAGCTCTGATGAACTGCTCTGATTGGTCAGAGCGCGGCCGAGCCCCTCTGTGCACGTGCGTGAGACCCACACACGCGTGTTTGGCGCAACGCATTATGGGAGATCATTCACTGCGCAGAACCGGGAGGACCAGACGATGCCCAAATACAGGCGAGTTTCCCATAGATCTTTGCAAGTTTCAGGCAACTTCCGCTAATCTTTTCAGCCCCCATGCCGTCACAAAGCGCCACTGAGCACAACCATTCATTTGAATAGGGCGCCATCTTGAATCGCCGGGGCTTGCTTTGTACGAACTGAACACACAAAATAAACTTCAGTCACTTTTATTAATGCCGAAAGGTTTATTTAATGACTGCAAAGAAAATAGTTCCCAAAGGTTTTCCCGTGGCAGGCGAGTAACAGTGAGGCTAGCTCACCTACTTCAAAAAAGAGATCGCTTTCTGTTACCATGGCGGCGCATGAACATGCTGCGGCTTCTCTCTCTCTCTCTTGACAAGGTGACGTTTCTACCCTTTTCTGCAAACTGCATTTGCAGTTTTTGTGATCCGCATTGTTTTGCAAGATGTTGTTGTACATCTTTGCCATGTTTTTGTGGAGTTCAGCGGATTTTTTTACTGCCAAAGCTCTTTGCTAGCAATGAACAGAGGATGTGTTTTTAAAAGTAAACACACAGTTAGCATCTGAGCTAAAGGCTTTTTGAGCAGTATTTAAGACCTACAAATCCAGAAATATCTTCTGAAGCGCTGACAGGTCACCGAGGGCCCCACGCATCTGCAGCACAGTGGAGGCGTCACAAGAGGCGCTACAGGAGTCCCGGCCTCCGTTGTGTCCAACTTCTACAGAGGGACTGTAGAGAGCATCCTGACCAGCTCCATCACTGGGTGGCACGGCACCAGCACTGCCTCCTGCCGAAGGAGCCTCCAGCGCATCGTGAGAGCAGCAGAGAAGATCTGTGGAGCAGTTCCAGTCGACTTAAAAACAGTTTCATTCACAAGGCCATCAGGAAGCTGAACTCCCTGCCCTCCCTCCCACCCCTCTTCCCCCGCTCCACAATCAAGGATGAGAGAAATATAATTTCAAACCATTCACTTGGTTTGACAAATAAAAATCTTGAAATCTTTAGTCGCATTAAGAAAGTATTTTTGTCATGAAAACCTTAACAGATAATTCTGAAAACCTCCGTGCACGTGTGTTACCAATGTATGTATAATATATTCTCCCATTAACATTTAAATGTGTCGATTGTCATTTGCGTTTATTGAGTGTGGCTCTGATAGTTTCTCAGAGACAGTAGTGGCGTAGCCCGTTGTGACCCCATGGAGATCCATTATAATATCAGCTGACAGTAGCTAACTATAGGATCAAACTAATTACAAAGTGGATAGTGCAAAAACAAACACTTGATAAATGGAAGTTAATCACAGCAAAATAAAGAAGGCGCTAGCATTGCAATTTAAATGACTAGTTAGATAATGTTAGCATAATCCTCACTATTACCTTTTTATCAATTAAAACTTTCTACCAGTCACTGGAAGACCACGACATTCAAGACAACGTTTTAATTGGTCTACACTATGATCCCTGATGGTTTGATGGTGGAATTTTGCTCCTGGTACATCATTTTCGTCTAAAGTGACAAGTGGTATTTGATTCATTTCGGCAGTGTTTGTCCGAAACATGTGGGCGGAAGTTGACAGGCGGCGGGGGCGTGTCTTAGTGACGTCATTTAGATAGTTTGCTATGAAGCAGGCAGTAGGCACACAAGTTTACAAGTACATGAAGTTAAGGTCTTGGGAAAAAAAATATCACTTTTAAAAAAGTCTGGAATTTTAATTTGGAAAAAGAGCAAGCACCCTGTGTATAAATAAAGATTACTTACTTATACGTCTTATTTCATTTCTCATTCCAAGAGAGGTATGTTTTAAGACAGATAATTTGTTCCAATTTTGAGCAATTTTTTACTTATTTTTCCTCACTTTTTGCAGTGTGGACTTCAGTTTTCTAGGGACCACCTGTTACTGAGAGACGGGGCCATCGTGGCGCTGGACTGGGTTGTGGGGGAGTGTGAGGGGGGGAGGAGGAGCAGTCCCCCGGTGCTGCTGCTGGTGCCTGAGCACTGGGGCAGCCTCACTCCTCACCTCTGCTCCTTGTGCCACTCGGCCTCTGCTCTGGGCTTCTATGTGGTGCTGTTTCACCACAGAGGGACCGCGGGCTGCCCCCTCACCACCACCAGGCTCACAGAGTTTGGAGACCCGGCGGATCTGGACCAGGTCAGCTGATGCTCAGGGAATGTTTAAGGCAGCCATTCCCAAACTCAGTAACACCGAGGCCCCCTTAACAATCTGACGGGTCTGCGTGGCCCCCCAAAATAATAACCAAGAAGACAACATTAAGAATAGGCTCTTTGGGGAAATAGCCTCTGCTACAAACATTGTAATACAAAAATGATTACAGTGGATTATTCAAGTCAAATAATGAACACAAATATTTTATTATTACAAACAAAACATTATAAATTTAACATTAAATAATTATATATTTTTTTTATTTATTTTATGACCTCCCGCGGCCCCCCTGCAGTACCCTCGCGGCCCACCTGGGGGCCGCGGACCCCACTTTGGGAGACACTGGTTTAAGGGTTAGAAGGTTCATCCAGTAAGACGTACATAGTTAACTCCTATTTCACTGCAAAGGACGAATAAATTAACAGATTCATATTTAAGTACATGTCGAGTCATGTCAGGTAATAAACTGGGCGGCATGATGGCACAGTGGTTAGCGCTTGTATTTGCATGTTCTCCCCATGGCTGCGTAGGTTTCCTCTGGGTGCTCCGGTTTCCCCTACCACTAAAACATGTGGATAAACATACAGGCAAGTTAAAACTGATAGAACCAGACTGTTTGAAGCTTGTTTCATTAATAATAAATAATACTGATAATAGTATTTTTATACAAAGAGTACATACGACACAAAAACAGACACAAAAAATACAGACAAAAAAACAAACAATATACTATCAGAACCACAAAAACGGAAGGACTCAAAATGCAACGACTCCAGAATACTTTTAATACAAAAATAAGGCTTGACGGCTTACACACAGGATACAAGACAATCTGGCACAGAAACAAAGAAACAGGGGGTTTAAGTACACTGGAGGGAGTAGGGACCCAGGTGCAACACATTAGGGCGGGGCTGGTAATCACAGGAGTGAAGGCAGACAAGGACCGGGAAGTGAACAGCTCTGCAATGAGACACACAAGGTAAGTACAAAATAAAACAGGAAGTCAAGTCTCAGGACTGGGGTGTGACAGTACCCCCTCTAAGGTCGGCACCGGACGGCCCAGGAACATCAGGATTAAGCCTGTGGAAGTCCCGAATCAGTTGTGAGTCCAAGATATTGCTGGCGGACACCCAGGACCGCTCTTCAGGACCGTACCCCTCCCAATCAACGAGATATTGCAGGCCTCGGCCACGACGTCTCACCGCTAACAGTCTTTTCACTGTGTACACCGGATCACCATTAAAAAAAAACGGGGAAGAGGCGGCGACGGGGTTTGCGGAACAAGTGGGCTCTCCTTCACGGGTTTAATCCTGCTCACATGGAACGTGGGGTGCACTCTCATGGTCCTTGGCAGTTTCAGCTTCACGGCTACAGGATTGATGACTTTGGAAACTGAAAATGGCCCAACAAACCGAGGGGCCAACTTACAGTTTTGGACATGACGTGGGAGGTCCCAGGTCGACAACCACAGCCTTTGACCCACTTGATACTGTGGGGCTGGACTCCGACGATTGTCAGGTGATTTCTTATCCTCTTAAGCTCGCTAGCACCCGCCGGCTAAAAAAAAAAAAACATCCGCTGGCAATAGCAGATGTATTTTGAACTTCATAAGCCACAAGCTATATATCATTTTAAAGCTCATTTTCTCAGCTATATTTATATGTAAGTGTAAACGATATCAGACTTTGCATTAAAAAGATAAAACGCATAATATGGGCACAAAATAAATCGTGTTTGTGTAAGTTTCTTACCTTTCGCCTTCTGCAGCTCCAACAAATTAGACTTTCCCCATCCTTGCTTAGTCTCTCTCCGTAAGTCTTCATTGAAAAAGAATATCCACATGTATTTCCCAAAGTATAATCCATTCTTCAGAACTAATCCAAAAATGAGCATTTTTCTGTTGCAAAAAAAAAACGCTGCGAAAAATGTTCAGGCTTCTCTTTCACATGTCACCAAGTTTGAGCTTTGTTTAGCCCCACAAACATATCCACGTGTTCCTTGAGTCCTTAGCTTTAAAAAAAGAGGTTCCATGAAAAGAAAGCAGGTTTCAGTCCGCAGGACCCTTGTGAAAAAGACGAACCGCATCCACTTGCAGAGGGTCCGTTTTTACCTTGTTGTTGATTAGCATGGCTAGCACAATGGGCTAGCTCTGAATGATTGATGTGTCTAAGTAGCCAATAAAAAGCTTTCTTTTGATGGGTGGGACTTGTAGGAACTCTTTCATTTTCACAATAAAAGCATGCGTAAAGACGCTGTTATAGAAATATTTTAGTGAAGCAACCTGAATTAACACCAAATAGTTATGTGTAAGTTATTAACTAAGTTATTAACTAACAGTGAACTCTGGATTCAGATACAGGCCATAATGCTCTGTTGGCTCAGGTCAGTGATAGATGGAGACGTGCTGCATCATGTCTTTGACCTGGGTCATAGAACAATATGTTCAGTTCAAAAGCAGATTGTTACATATATCAGAGTTGTATCAGCGTTAGGACGCGTAAAGAGAAGCCTTGAGCAACACATATCAACGTTGACTTCATTTATGTAATATCTAGAGTAGATATGTGTTTGTTTACTCTGGTCTATTTAATGTACAGGTATTTCCTCAATCGGAAACTCACTTTGTTTGGAATTACAGCTCTGAGTTGTTTACATTATTTTACTCTCAGTATGTGCAGAATTTCAACAACGCTGTTAGTAGTATAAAATATGCGCAGCAGTACTAAAAAATAATTTTGAAAAAATGTAAAAGAAAATCACACAAATTTGTAACTTATAAGTACCAAAACTAAAAAATGCTTTTTATGATGGTGAAATGTTAGTAAAGCAGTTTGACACACATTTTGCCAAATTGGTTCCGAATGGCACTATTGAGTCTGAAACTTGACACAGTTGTTGTCAACAACAATGAACAAATTAGCGTTGAAATTTTTCTTCCAATGAAGTAGGCTTTTTTAGGGCATTTATACATTGAATTGTTTAGGCAAGGCTAGAAAAAAAAAAAAAAAGGATTTTTCCCAAACTTCAAAGGATGCAGAGTAAAATAGGAATGACATACATTATTTTAGTGTATATTTACATAAACTAGAAGGGCCTAGCTTTAAAATGATGCATCACACAAGCATGTGAGATGTAAGATGTGTTTTTAAATCAGCAAAGACATTTGGGTATGCCAAACTTTTGTGCACGAGCCAAAACAGAGGAGCTTAAAGGCGCGTTCAGACCAAAAGCTTCAAAAAGCTTTTGACGCGCTTCAACTGACGCCGGGATAGTTTTGTCATTTTGGTGCTTGAAGCTTTTGACGCGAGTGATGCGCCTGACGCCGGTGGGAGGAGCTTCTCTGTTGTCTGTAGTCAGGACAGCGGTGGATTTTTCAATGAGCAGCGAGCCTTTATTTGTTATATTAAGCAAAATAACGTTGTTGTAGGGCTTCAACAAAACATGTTCTGGGTTCACCACAGACTTGAGAGGCTGCAGTGTTTGCAGAGTTCCGTCATTTACTCCAGGATCTGCGTACGGAGGAGTTTCGCTTTCAGCGGTACTTCCGCATGTCACTCGCCCAGTCTGAGTTCTCAAACCCCGGAGCTCGCCTCTCCCCACCTCGCTCTCGCCTCTCCCTGCCTCTCCCTGCCTCTCCCTGCATCTCACTGCCTCTCCCCGCCTCGCTCTCGCCTCTCCCAGCCTCTCGCCCGCCCGGAGCTGCCTTGCTCTGAGCCAGACTCATCGTCACCCTGTTCTTATTTTAAATAAACGACATTTACTACACAGCATGTGTACAATGATTTTTGTTACTCAGAACGTTACTACTCATACAAATAATATTACTAATAACAATAATGACAATAAAACAGCTGCAGCAGATACATGACTTCAATCAATCAATCAAAGTTTATTTGTAGAGCGCCTTTCATACACAGGGCAACACAAAGCGCTTCACAGTCCACATCACAAATCATCACATAAAACAAACACCAGAATCACAATTAAAACATTAAAATCACACAAAAGATTAAAACACAATTAAAACATTAAAATCACACAAAAGAATAAAACCATTAAAACTTTCAAAATTACACAAGAAATTAAAAAAAAAAAAAAAAAAATGACAGCAGTGCATTAGAAATGGAGATAAAATCCTTCAGTTGTATGCACAGGCAAACAGAACAGTCTTTAACCTGGATTTGAACATTGACAGAGTAGACGCCTCCCTCACATTTTCAGGGAGATTGTTCCAGATCTTAGCTGCATGGATCTGAAACGCAGCCTCCCCATGTTTGGTTCTCACTCTGGGCACCAGCAGGAGGCCAGTCCCTGTGCTCCTCAGAGTCCGGGCCGGTTCATATGACACCAACATGTCACTAATGTATTCTGGTGCAAGGCCATGGAGAGACTTGTACACAAGCAGAGCCGTTTTAAAATCTATTCTTTGAGCCACAGGAAGCCAGTGCAGAGACCTGAGGACCGGACTAATATGGTCATACTTCCTGGTTCCTGTCAGGACTCTAGCTGCTGCATTTTGGATGTACTGCAGCTGCTTACAGGTCTGTTTGGACAGACCTGTGAGCAGGCCATTGCAGTAGTCTAGCCTGCTGGAGACAAATGCATGGACAAGAATCTCCAAGTCTGCCCTGGACACTATATTTCTAACTTTGGCAATGTTCTTCAGATGGTAAAAAGCTGTTGATGTTATTGATTTTATGTGGCTATTGAAATTTAGGTCTGAGTCCAGTATTACCCCCAAATTTCTGACCTTGTCTGAAGGAAGTAGGGAGAGAGACTGAAGTTGACAAATGACGCCCTCTCTTTGTTTCTGGGGACCAAAGACAATGATTTCGGTTTTGTCTGTATTTAGCTGGAGGAAATTATTTTGCATCCAGTCACTGATCTGTTGGATACAGTGAAGGAGCAAATCCAGTGGTCCATGTTCTCCTGCAGTCAGTGAGACATAGATCTGAGTGTCGTCGGCGTAATTGTGGTAGGACACT